TCTGATATCATCGCCCTGTGGTGGAATTCGCCGACCGTTTTCGTGCATTTGCACGTCAACGTGTTTGCATACGCTGCATTGTATTTTATGACAAACAACTCACTAAAAGCCTCGTTTGTCGTAAAATAAAGTGCTTCGTACGCAAAAATTCGTGTTTTTATGCGCAAAGGCACGAAATCGGTCGGCGCGCCGACCGATCGGTCAGTTCGGTCGGCGGTCGGCGATTTTCGACCGACCGAAATGGAAGCCTTACTCTAACATGAGCACTTGTTATGAAACTCAAATATGTTGTTCGTAAAACAGAAATAATTTTTATTAGTTTCTAAAAATCTTACTGGAATTCAGACCCATAAACTCCTCATGTTTTCAAGCTAAAAATTCTAGAACGCTCCCTGCCAAATTCAGAAATCTCGGTCTTCTCCAGCTGCTTCATCACCACCGTCTACTACGGAAAATTGTGCCAACAAATATATTCAAAAATGGAGGAGGTAGTTAAGTCAAGAGAAAAAAGCAAGAGAATTTTAGTGTTTACCTGCCCGATTTCTCGGTTTCGTTGTCTGTTTTTTTTCAGATGAAATGACACAAAAACATGTGTTTTGCGGGAGAATCGGTAAATTAGAGAAGAATCTGATGAAGTGTATTTCTTGGAAAATGATGGAAAATAAAACTAGTTAAAATTTATGGGGGTATGGTCAAAAAAACTACAATTTTTAAGAAATCATCCGAAAAGAAAGCCATCATCTTTGTACTACAAATCAACCCCAATGATTTGATCGTACATTTCTCACACTACAGAAACAGTAAAATCTCCTATACAAAAAATCCGACATAAAAACCAGATCCAAAACTTCCCTGTCCATTCCGAAAAAAAGTCTTTTTGGGTTTTCTTTGCTTGGCTTCCTATTTTGCCTTTTTTTTCAAACCAATTTCCCTCTCCCCATTTCACCTTTTTCCCATTTTTCTAAATCATTTCTCTTTCTTCTCTGAGTACCACCACATAATCGTTTTCAACGGAACAAGTATAAAAAAAATGAAAGGGAAGAAGGAAGCAAAAAATGGAACCAATTGTATATTCTCCTTTTGTCTGGACTCTTTTCATTCGTCCATTTCTGAATGTTCCGCTGACATTTCGTTGTCTGATCAGCAATCAATCGAAGAGTCCTTTTTGTCGCTCTCTTTGAAGATCGAAAGATAACATAAATCCCTTGTGTGTTTTGTTGTGTCAACTACTACTACCTTTGGAGCCAATAATTGTGGAGCAATACATACCCGAACAAAAGAGCACATTTGAGAGGGGGATATAGGAGAAACGAAAGACATGTTAAAGAGGCAAAAATCTCGAGACGACGACCTGGAGTTAGAGAGATCAAGTTACAAAAGAAGCGAGACTTTCTGGTTTTTGGTAAGCTAAACTTTGAAGTGATCAGCTGGGAATATGGCGGTTTCATATGGATTAAGAGCAAAATTACCGAAAAGACTGTAATAGAACGCCCCCATAGACTGTAATTTAGCTATTAAAAATCCACACATTCTTTACTATTTCTGCGAATATTAAAACGGCTTTCTACGCCCAGCTTCGCATATACGGTGCAGTCTGTAACAGGTCCGAAAAGCGTAAATTCTGACCAAATATATTTCGATTTTTGTGATAGATATCAAAAAAGTGGTCAACTGACAAAATTTTTATCAAATCATCAAACATATTTTTCAATGAACCACTTTTCTATAGATTCTAAAGGAACGGAGATAAATTAGCTCAAAATTGAAGGTCAGTAGGCGTTCTATTAGCGTTTTTACGGTATACATAATTGATAATTTCAAAATTCACAGCGTGAAACCTGTAACAGAAAAGCTCCCATCAGTCAGTCAAACTTGAGTTAATTTATCTAGGTTCTAGTATAGAGTATCAGTGGACAAAAAGGGGCATATTATTGTCGAATTTAAAAAAGTGGGACCTGAGAATTTGAAAGGCGTAGCTTTTTTTGGTCTACGAAAAAGTGCGGCAAAAACGTAATATTTCAGGTTTTCGCCTCGTTTGAGCTACTTTCGCGATTAACTTCGGTTTTTTGGATGAAAATCAGATTCTAGAGATGCTTGAGATCATTTTCATACCAAGACATCTAAATTTTGTTCAGAAAATTTCACTGAATTCATAGAAATAAGTTCCGTTTACTACTGTAGTGATTTTGAGGCAAGGCCTCAAAAATTGACCGGGAAGACGCCCGCGAAATTTTCCAGGTCCCACTTTTTTTAATTCGACAATAACAGGTTACAGGTTACCGAACATTGAAAACTCACCCAGCATAGAAAACACTAATCAGACGATATTTAAGGTAACAGAAACAGTGAAAGATAGGTGAGTTTTTATATAGCGAGATAGGATGCTACCATCTTTCCATACTAAATACTGTTGACTAATGGAACGTCACCCAAATTGTCAACTTTGACACAGTTTATCTCGGTTCCGGTGAAAGATATTAAAAATTATTAACTGACCAAAAGTTTCTAATATTTTTAGAAAGATTTTGTTAGTTGATTACTTTTTGATATCTTTCACAGGAAGCCAGACAAAGTCGTTCAAAATGGAAAATTAAGAGCATATTAAAGGTTACAGGTTACCGAAAATTGGAAACTTGACATACCACGGATCATAAGCATAACATGACCAGAAGTTATTATAGGTAGCAGAAACAGTACAGCATAGAAGGATCTTTTAATACCTAAATCACAGTTTTTGTGCTACTGTGTATTAAGATTCCACATTTAATCGTGTAATGTCAGACTACTTTAAAATTCTCATGAATGGAAAATCTGAAACAGTACGGTTTCTTTGCTCTCCAAAAGTTTAAAATAGTCCTCAGATAATATTCGGCACCTCATGTGTGACGTTTCTTTGAACTTCATTGGCTAGATACGAGTTGCACAGATGATTCAAGAAGGGGCACGGCAACGGAACGGTAGGGACACAATGTCCCAAGGGCACTCTGGACGGGACACGGTGGCATTTGGATGCGAATCGTGTTCCCCTCTGTGCCCTAGCGTTTCAAATTTTTTAATCTTGATTTTTTATCTTGACTGTCCGACTACTTTGAAACTCTGATAAATAGAATCTCTGAAACAGTAGAGTTTTTTATTCTCAAAAAAGTTTACATCATTTTTGTTTAACCATTTGCAAAAATAATCCTTCCCATTAACCCAGCTGCTCCAAAAAGTGCAACAAAAACCTCCTGATCCCAATTAATCCCAATAACTTCTTATCCTCGGGATTTACTTTTATACCTACAAATCTCCAAATTCGACCCACCTTCTCTAATCCTATTCACCATCAAAACTTTTTACTCTACTTTTTTTTGAACAATTCGTTTATGCTTCTTTTTCTTCTTCTTCTTGCTCCTAATCCCACTCTCTGTGCTCTTTTTCTTCTTCTATATTGCTTCTTCGTTTCCAAAATTCCCTCTTTCCGCCTCATTTCCATTTCTTTACGAGTGTTCTCAATGTGTTTTTTTGCTCTTTAAGGAAATGAAAACTTCTAGAAGATTCCAGAAGAACCCAAAAAAAAACGGAGAAATGAGAAGAATGATGATGAAATGGGAGAACGAAGAGGAGAAGAGTGCACACAAATTCAATTTTCCATTCGTATATAGGCAAAAAACAAAAAGAATGAGATTTCTAGTTAGGCAAAGAGAATTTGGAGCGTGTTTTTTGTACTAAAGAAGAAGAAGGAATTTTCTGGAACTTCCGGTTGCTATGGTCTCCGAAATTCAAAAAAGAGTAAATAAACCTTAGAACTTTCTTATATCAATTCAAATTTCCCATTCCCATTCCCATAATTCCATCGGCATTCCCTTTGATCACTATGCATACAGTCTGATGTCATTTCTCACCTCAAAAAGGTCTGCCGAAAAGAAAAAAAACTGAGCAAAGTTCGTTTACTTTTCCTATCATCCAATTCAAACAGATTTTTGAAACTTATTGGTTTCGAATCCCTCCCAGAGATTTCGAAACCATGCAGACGCAGACTGTCAAACAGCGGAATCCATGTGTTTCTGCTCTGTGGCATTTCGAGCCTCTCTCTCTCTCGGGTCATCGGAGCAAAACGGAATAGGAGTATAAGCATTTGGAGAGCAGAGGTTTAGAAACTAGTGATTGAATGAGAGATCAGGTGATTTGAAGAGACGCAGACAATAATAACTATGGAGGAGAGAAGGAAACAAGGTGAGAAGAAGGGTGTGGTGTGCTCTGATATATTTGTATGTATGTAGGTAGGAAAAGGAAATTTATTTTGGGGTGGTGCTGATTTTTCAAAATGCCACCTGACCTTCATATTTACCTCGAGAACTTTGCTCTGCAGCTTGAAACTTTTAGATCAAAAAGGAAATTATCGGGAAAAATCAATCGGGTGATCTTCTTATCTTATCAGGTGCCCTTTAGTCTGATTATACAGATTCTAATCATTAAATTAACTTTTTTTGAACTATAAAACTTCCGGAACTCGACTACAAAAATTGATTGATTCTGGAACTAACTTGGATTCATCTTGATAAACATCTAGATCAAATTTTAGGATTTAAATCAAAATCGACACTTCGAGGATCAACTTTTTTTTCCTCAAAAACCTTTTTTCAAAATGAAACCAACTTTCAAAAAAACAAAACACTCACTTTCTTTTTTGTTGACTGTCAAGTTGGATTCCGATGCTGCCTCTAGTGTTCCGACGCTTCCTGACGCAGCTCCACCGCTGCCATCAGCCACTGATTGGACGCGAAACCGTCCGCCCGACATCTTCTATTTCAGAACCTCCTTAGCAAATCCCGAACGTGTTCCAGAATAAATTCCAGCGCCGTAGCGGAAGGAAGAGGAAACACAGTTGGAATAGAAAGGGTGGTTGGCGGTGAAATGGAGATGACGGCGGTCGTTTCGGGCCTCGAAGCAGGGCAGAGAGGGCGGGCAGAGCACACGAGAAGAGAGTTCAGACCGATAGCGGATAGAGACAGTACAAGGATCCGTGGAGACGCAGGAGGAGAGACAGATTGCTGCTCTATGTGGGAGAAATGGAAGGAGAAGAAGAAGGAAAAGAAGAGGAATGAGGACCCCGCCCCTTAAATTGAGGAATATGAGAAAGAAGGAATTGTTAAAGGAAATGTTCCGAAAAGAAAAGCAGATGGTTACTCTTATTCCCTCTTATAACCACTACCCATCTAATTGTCATTCCGAAAAGACGAAATTGGGTGCACTTATTAGATCGTTCATTCTCCTTTTTCTTCTTCTTCCCCCGGCTTCTTTTCCTCTTCAAAATCTCATTCCTCTTCTTTCTAATTACTCATTTACTCTTCTTCCCATTTTCATTTTTCGATCCAATTTGATTTTCTTCGGAATTGAAAAATGAGAACGAGAAGGCGAATTGAGGCCTTTGTTTACGAATCCCATGCTTTTTTCTGCTCATTCCCTTCAGTTTCAGACACGATGACTCTCTAATTGAGTGCTCCGAAATGAGCAGAGAGAACGATGTTTTTTTTGGAATTTCTGGTTGTTTAAATTGAATTAGAAATGATAAATTTTCGGGGAAATGTCAGAAAAATCGGGGAGGAGGAAAGGAAAAGGCGAGCTACCGTAACCCAAAACGATTTTATGGGAGGGTCGAGACCTGAAGAGAAGGAATCAGATGTGGAAAACTATAATGTTTTGATTATGACATCAAAAGGGTGGCAACTCGCAGTTGGAGACTTGAATTTAAACATATCCAACCTGCGGGAAATTCCCGTGATGTACGCCAAACTATACTTGCTTTTTGAAAATAATTATCTCGATTTCTGTTGGTGGTATTATGACAAACATTTTATTAGTTCACAGTTTTCTGATATCTTTTGAAGAAACCGAGATAATTGAGGTTGAACTGGAGGTACATGGTGGCGTTCTATTTAAGCGAGAGGCCAACAAAACCGTCATCTTTGAGCTCTCGTTTCTCGGTTCTTGTGAAAGATATCAAAACGTGGTCAACTGATAAAATGTTTTTGACATCAACATTAACATTTTTCCACCTTGACCACTTTTTGATATCTCTTGTAGAAATTGAGATAACCGAGCTCAAAGTGTACGTATAAATTGAGCTACTATTAGAGAAAATACATAAAGTGTGGTTCATAAGGAACATACTTCCAGTTAACGAATTTATCCCATTGAAAAGCCGGAATTGGTAAAATTTCAAAATTTCAAAACGAAAATTTTTCTGTTTCGATTACCTTTCAAATGCCAAAGTTTTCGTATTTTGGATTAGTTTTTCCACTTGAATAGATGGCAACAAGATTTCAGGATCTTCAAGATATTCTACCAGCTCTGAACCTTTCATTTTGAAGAACTCATTACCCAGTTTCAGATTAAATTTACAGCTTCCTATTCCAGATGGCAGACACAAACTTTCGGAATTCAACTGGTTTCTCCAGGCTCATCTACATTTTCGGGATGTTTTTGTTCTTCAATGGTGTCCCAAAAATGTTCTTTTTCTCTCGAAAAGAGGAGTCACATGCATTTCAGATAACATAAACTCCAAAAACAGATGACAGCTTGCCAACAGAATATTATCTTTGTTTACTTTTACTCACTCTTTTTTTATCTACTTCTGTTTTTTCTTTCTAGTGACAAGTGTTCCCCAAGGACAAATGAGCGGAATTCTGGAAAAAAAATATCAGGATGGTTTTTTTTAGAAGGAGTTTTTCGCTTCGAGATCTGTGATTGACCTCGCTGAAACTTAAAAAAAACATCTTGAAACTAGGTTTTTTTACTATTGATGTTGGGTTGCAAGACGTGATATACTACTAAGAATATTCACAAGAAAAATCAACGATCAGAAAGACTTAAAAATTCAAAACGTCGACTAAAACTTCAAAAATTCGCACAAAAATTCAAAACTCTGAATCGAAAATAAGAACGAATCCTTCTCAAGAAGTGACTTTTATCATCCAAAATCATCTTTTTCTTCTTCAAATATTCTCGCCTTTAGTCTATCTTTCCTTGGTTTTTCAGAATTTTTAAAACGTTCATCATTGGTCATTTGGCGGCGTATTCGAACGAACTTTTTCACTTCGCTTTTTCATCTTTGTGGCCAAAATAAGAGGCGTTTTTCGCACTCTTCTGGAGATGAGTCGTGCTCCATGAACCCCCGGAGAGAAATTCTAAAAGAATTGATGAGGAGCCATTGAGACGCTCCTATTCGGGACTCGGCGGCACTTTTCTCTTTTGCAAAAAATGAGTGCGAATATTCGTGAAGAGCAGAAAAAGGTGAGATAGGCGGAAATTAAAATTCATCAACTTTTTCCTCGGGTTTGCACAAAGAGAAGGGAAATTGAAATACGGAACTTTTTTGGGACGTTTTGTGGTTCGGTTTTGCAGAATCTTCCAAAACGAAGCTTGAAGAAAATTTGGAATACGATGGGGACTGCTCGAATAGCCCTTGTACTTGCACTTTGAGCTTAATTACCTCGATTCCTATAAGAGATATCAAGAATCTGTCAGCTGATAAAATGATTGCCATATAATCAGCAAGTTGTTTGTAATTGGCGACTTTTTGATAAGTCTTTCAGAAATGGAGATAATTAAGCATTGAGTGTAAGTAGAGGGTGGCGTTCTATTAGAGGGAAGGAAGATAGCATCGAAGCGTACAGGTTTGTGATTCAAGAAATTGTTCACACTAATTGTGATTCAGGAAACTAAAAATCTGAGTAGTTACATATACTGTATACGGTTCACTTTCAGCCTAATTATTTAGGTTCCTGTGAAAGTTATAAAAAAATCGGTCAAATACCAAATCTTTATCATAAAATCGTAAATGTTTAATCAGTTGACAAATTTTTGATGTCTCGCATAGGACCCGAGGTAATTGAGCTCAAAGCGCACGTATAGAGCGAGCTTCATTTGGAGCGAATACGGTATTACCCAAAAAAGCATGGTTCCTTAGGAAAATACCATCAGATACCAAGTGAATTTATCCCATGAAAACCCAAAATTGGTGAAATATCATTCCAAATTTTAAGATATTATTTTTTCTGTTTCAAGTATTTATTAAATTACAAAAGTTTCTTGCTCTTTGATAAATTCTTCCAAGGACAATTTTCTTGATTTGAACACACTTGATCTCTCTTTTCAGTAGTATTTCAAATTTTCCTAGTCTCACCAACAGAGCAAACCTCCTATCCACCTTTCAATTCCACTTGTTTTTCCCACTCTTCATCCCATCAATTCCTTCAAGTTTTTCTTGCTGTTCAAAAAATGTTCATTTCCATTCGCCACTACTTCTCTTCTTCAATTTGCCTCTTTTTTTTCTCATGTTTTTGTTTTTTTTTCTAAAATCTTCCCTCGTGGTTCTGCTCCGTCAGTCTGTGTTTTTCCTCTCTCGCCATCACCAATTTTCTCTAATTTGTGGAGATAATAGGAAGGTTTTGTAGGATGAAGGGAAAAAAGGAAAAAAAAGGGAAGGTAGGCAAGGGGGGAATGAATTGGGTTTGAGATTTTGGAGTGATTGGGATCGGGAAGTTTCTGGAACAAAGGCATTGGTACGTTACGATTTTGGTTCTGGACAAAAAAAAGTTGCTGTTCCAACACAGTCATTAAACTTGAATAGTTGTTTGAAAAATACTATTTACCGATAGGAGATACCTACAAATGTTCGGATGCCAGAGATTTGAATTCCCGTCAGGATTGGAATTTTTAACCGTTGCACTCGGGCCGTCAACTGTGAGCCCATATATCTCATTTCCTGTGAAAGATATCAAAACAGGTCAACTAACAAAATATTCGTTTTAATGCCAAAAAAAATATTTTCTCAGTTGACTACCTGTTCACATCCTTTACAAAAACCAATATAAATTGGCTCAAAGTCGGAGGCCTACTATTTTAGTGTTTACGGTAACATCTTTTGCGTTCCTTCTCCTTCTCTCGCTGAATAGAACTCTAGCAATTTTTTCTCCACTTCTTCAGAAAAATCGCTTAAGCATTGGTCACTTTTTTTCAGAAATACTTTCCCAGAATAGTCGCATTTTTTTGCTGATAGCAAAAGGACATTTTTATCACCAACAACACCTATTTTTACTTCTATTTCAGGAATAAAGCCGTCATTTCCGACACTAATAATACACAACTAATCATCCATGGAATTATTTTTCTTGGTACGATTCTTGAGCTATTCTCGTCGAATAATCGAAACACAAGAATTTCAGGAAAAAGGGAGTTTGTAGTTTGTACTCGACGTCCTATTCCAAAGTTCTCTGTAGCCCTTCTTTTCCCACTGTCATAAACCTCCGATCACAAGTTTTTTTTTCGCTCTATTTTACGATAAGAACTAATTGGTTTTGTTTCTCGTTGAAAATTTTTAGCGCGAAAAATATGAATCGAAAAATCGACTCGAAATACGACACCGGCAAATTAATGCGATTTTGCGCTAATTTTGTTCGCTGATAACTAATTTTCGTGGTGATAATAACATGATAGTGGAGCATTTTTGTGTGTAAAAATGGCAGCATGAAAAGAATACGAAAGGAATGGAATGGTGTCAAAATGGTTATAAGGGGATTGGTGGAAGAACCGGAGCATAGGACAGTTTGTGTCATTAAAGATTGTTGTGAGAAGAGTTAAAGAGTTGGAATGAAAAAGATGGTCAGGGAGCAAAAAAAGAAACAAGGGAGCAACAGTGAAATTTTTAAATTTGTATTATTTTTAAATTTTTTAAAGGATCGAGAATAATACAATGGTTGATTACCAAGATGTTAATTTTGAAAAAAATGTTTTACATTATTCTGGAAATTTTTTCGAGACCATAATTCTCAGACAGCCAGATCTAAAGTAAAACCTGTGATAAAAGGGCCCTTCAACTTTAAATTTCGAGCCACTTTATCTCGGCTCCTGGTGAAGATATAAAAAAAGTTGTCAACTGATCAATTGTTCATCACAATATCAGACATTTTTTGTCAGTTGACACATTTTTGACATCTTACATAGCAATTGAGATCATTGAGCTCAAACTTGTCAGTGTACAGTTGTTACGGTAAGTTTCCTAAATTATTTCAGAACCGCTCATCAAATAACCATAAACTTCCTTGTAATATAAATTCTATGAAACCGAAAAATAGAGCATACAAATTTCATCATCTGATTCTAATGTAAAAGTTATTCCGGCGTTGGTAAACCTTTCAATTGGAAAAAAATGAAGGGGGAAATTCTATTTAACAAAAAATTAAGTTGGAAACCTTAAACATTGGAAAAAAGTCACAAAACCGGAATTCTATGATGTTGAGATGTTCAATTTGTGATTGTAGAACTACACTATAGACTAATTGAATTAAAGGTGGGGGGACAGGAGATTTTTCGTAGTTTTTTTTTGTAGCTAGAGTATGCATTCTACCGTCACGGTGTACATCGCTTAATGTCACTCTGCGTACAGCTGTCGTCCTCGCCTTTATGTATGCAATCTGGCATGCGCTTTCTCTTTGCCCGCGTGGCTCAGTCGGTAGCGGCGCCGCACTCTCATTCCACACCCTCACAAGTTCAACTCCTCGAGGGGCATCTTTGAACGGAATTTCGAAAATATTATTTTTTTCATGTCCCCCCCCCCACCTTTAAATTTGGTAAAACAGTAACTTTCGAAGAATCACTAGCAGAACTTCTTCCAAAATTCTCCAATTTCAAGAATGAAAATCAATACAATCAGATCAGGGTCTTGAAAATATAATTGAATGAAGAGAACCTAGAGAAAACCTAGAAAAATGTGTTGTTTAAAAACAATGGTCCGGCGGTCGAAAACGTCACAACAATAGATATCCGAAAGGTGTCGGAGAGAAAAGAAAAAAGATGAAAAGAAAAAGAATAGAAGCGAAAATTGATATCAATTTGTCAAATTATCTTCAAATGATTCCCACTGATCAGCAGGCTCCACATGCAGGAGATTTTGTAGGACAAAAGTGAAAAAAAAGCAAAAAAAGAGAAAATAGAAGAAGAGCAGATTCACTCTTCTGTGATTTTTGGTTTGGTCCTTGAGAGTGAGGACAGCAAAGAAAGTGAAATATTTTTGGACACAGAAGTAGAAAACGTGTCTCCGGGGGATTCACAGAAGGATGAGAAGAGCAGGAGAAGAAGACGCGGGACAGAGATGAGCTATGATTTGATAAGTTTGAGAGAAAAATAATGCAATAAGTGGCTCAGAAAAAAAGTCAAGACAGTAACTGTTGTTAAAAAATAAGGAAGGGATTTAGAACTTTGATGTGCTGCTGATTTGATTCTCGAAATCTCATCATGCATGGCCTACTCACAAAATCTGAGTAAGTAACAAATTTTAAGCGTGAGAAAAATATACACTGTTTCAGTGAGGTTTAAAATGTTGATATTTCAATTTATACCAATTGTTAAGTCCTAAACACTAAGCACTGTCTAACCAAATTTTGATAAATAAAGAAAACATTAGAATCACGGTAGGATTCGAAAAGGTCTTCTGAGTTTATCAATTTTATAGAGTGTGAAACAAAAAAACTGTTTCAGCGAGTTAAAAAATAGTGATATCCGATTCATGCCTAATAGGTAAGAGCCCCTATCAAAAAAAAAAGTTTCGACCACGGCAGGATTCGGACCTACAATCTTCTGCTCCGTAGGCAGACGCGTTATCCATTGCGCCACGCGGCCACATTTTATCACTTCTACTTTGTCGTAGAAGTGTGAGAGCTAATTAACAGATGCTAGGGAAGAGACGACTGCTATTCAACGACAATGGTTACAACGATGAACCGAATGCATCATTTAATTTAGGTTTCAACAAGGTAACATGATAAAGGCAAGTTTAGTGGACATGATACTCAAATTATCGGAATATCGATTTCTCCACTTTACTAAAGAGAAGTTGCTCTGGTTGGCACCGAAAAGGCAATTTCGAGCTCACGAGGAAGTGCCAACTCGGAGTTTTGATTAAAATTCCTTGGTGCCCAGATTCTCTAGATGAAAAACAAATATTAAATGTGTCTGTGTTTGTACGTTTTTTTTCTTCCCTCCACTTCCAGATATATTTTATTGCCTTGTTTTTTCTTCTTTTCCTTCCTACTTCATTTTTTCCTCTTGATCCTAATATTTTCTTTTTGCAAGGGGACCACTTCATTGAACCATAAAAGGTGATTCGGGGGTCAAATTTCATTTCAAAAATTCCAGGTTTTCTTCACCCACACACTGAAATCCGTTCAAGCGTGAATGAAAAGTGAAAGCTCAACCGGAATTATACTTTTGAAAAAAACGTTGAAAAAACTTGTTTTTTTTCGAAGTTACAATTCAGAAAGATCTTTTTTAATTTGAAAAGGCTAGACAAGAAATTGATGTCAACTTATTATGTTTTCGATGAGAAATTCATGATGGAAATGGGTCCCAAATGATGGATTAGGTTGTTTTTGAAACAAAAAACATGTAATGGAAAATTTGGAATCGCCGTTCAAATATTATTTCGAGTTATAAAACTTGAATAGAATATTAAAGGGGGACTCCGGCCAGAAATTTTTATTGCATTAAAATGTGTTAAAATTTATCTATTTTTCAAATATTATTGCGAAAAAATTCAAAGAAAATCCGAAATCCCCGAAAAACGGCGTTGAAAAGGAAGAAAATTCAAAAAAGTGCCGCCGGGGGACGAGGATTTTCAGTGAGAAACCTAGGCCACGACACCTGACAGCCTTTTTTTCAAGTCGCCGACAGTGGTTTTTTTACGTTTTTTACCTGCCGGACATGAAATTGAAAAAAATCCGGAAAACTTGCCACGTAGGAAAGGCGCCCGCTGCCGTGGCCTAGGTTTCTCACTGAAAATCCTCGTCCCCCGGCGGCACCTTTTTTTTGAATTTTCTTCCTTTTCAACGGCGTTTTTTGGGAATTTCGGATTTTTTTTGAATTTTTTCGCAATAATATTCGGAAAATAGATAACTTTTAACACATTTTAATGCAATAAAAATTTCTGGTCGGAGTCCCCCTTTAATATTGACTTAATCGGGATCATGACGAAAATTCGATTACTTTTCACCCTAAACAGGCAATATTGCTCAAACAAACCCATCAAAACTCAAGCAACCATTGTGAAACAGAACAAATTCAGTAGTTCACATTCCATGATTTGATAAAACGAATCACAATGTCTCACAATGACAACTAACGTAACCTAAAAATATTTTTATTTTCTAGAATACATTTTTTGATAGTGAAAAAATTGACGGAAAACGCACGATAATTGAGACGACAAGTCGGGTGAATGGAAATATTTTCAGGTTACGGTAGTTTTCGCTCTGAGACGTTCTAACTGGTAAGAGAACGAAAAACTTTACTGAATGCTATTTTAACGGTATTCAATTTCTTTAATTCAAAACATACGGTACTTAACAGAAGCTCTGAAAAAACTCCTAATTGAAAGTGTTTCAGTCACTATAGAAAATGCGAATGAGGTTGTTTAGGTTAATGTTAAAAAATAATGAGAAATCTACAGTATTCCCTGATGAATCCAAAACTACTCAAAAACAAAAAAGCGAACGTACCTGATAACATATCAATAATATTCATTGTCTGAATATATGTCGTGTTTTATTTTCTTCGTCGTGTCTTCATAGTCTCATGGAGCATTCCTCTTGTGTCTCACTTTCCGGGTAAAATCTCCTTTTTTTTTGAAACTCAAGAAAAGAATAGAGAAAAGAAAAACGGGGTGCGTGGTTTGGTGTATGTATGAAGAGAGTGGGGGTCCAGTTCAAAAGGTGGAAAATGTAGAGAACCAAAGGATTAGGGCGGAGACAGACAATTCAAGAAAAAAGAGAAAAGAAAAAAAAATGTTTATAGAAACCGAGGAGGACCCATGGGTGGTGGTGGTGCTGGTGAGTTTCCGGAACGAAAAAGGACACCACATTTTGGAATGAAGCTTCTTCTTTTGTCAGGTATTTTTTGGTCTCCTGATTTCATGATGAAACACAGTTTTCTTAAAATTAAGACACTGTTTCAACTACGAAGTTTAGTGTTAGGTGATTCAAGGATTTTGATTCGCAAACTACCAACCTAGTGGAGCACAAGTATCTCGGCTTTCCGGACCATTCCGCAAAATTTGAAAGTCAAGACTTTCGATCCACATGTTGCTAAATGATCATAATGTACACTTATTTAAATTACCAGCCTGTTTGCCGCGCCTCCGGCGCTTCAAACAGTTGGCTGGTGCACCTTTGGCGCGATTTAATTTTCAATTTTTACTATTCGTCGCTTCGCTCCTCTGTGAGAGAGAGAGAGAAACAAAGAGACGCAACTTCATTTATTTATTATAAGAATGATGAGGAATACTTTTTATACAAATAAGCTTACCTGCTCAAAATTTTTATGCTACTATGGTAGTGGGGTTAACTCTTACAATCAGTATTAAAATTTTCAAGAAATCTTGTCTTCAGAAATTATCAGAATTTGAGTTATCAAGAGGGTTTAATTGAGGAACTTATTGTAAGCTGTATCAAAAAGGTGAACATCAGCTACCTTATGCTACGTTCTTCGGAAAATCAAATGTGGGTTTTCTCTCTCCGAGCGCCTGTCAATTACCTTCACACTTGTACGACAGATTAGAAGAGAAGAAATGTGGCCGCGTGGCGCAATGGATAACGCGTCTGCCTACGGAGCAGAAGATTGTAGGTTCGAATCCTGCCGTGGTCGAAAATTTTTGTTGCATGTGTAACAAGTTCATTAGGTATGACTCGGATATCAACATTTTTTTCACATCACTGAAAACAGTGTTCTTTGTTTACCACACCATATGAGATAGAAAAAACTCAGAAGACCACAGGATAGAACCCAGCGGTGATGCAATTTTTTTGGATTTACAATAATTTCTAGACGGAAAAGAGTCTTACAACAACAGTTTGAAACTGTACTCTTTACTGAAAGACTAGTAAGAAAAGAGAATAAATGTAAATGGCTACGGTACTAACTATTTGAAAATTTCGGCCAATCCTAAAAAAACCTTTTTGAGCATCAATGACTGAATGAAAAATAAAGATTTTCTTCCGAGTACCTATTTCTTATTCTCTAAACTTCGTACCTTTCTTTTTCTTCTCCGCAGTCGCCGTCATTATGTGCATTCGGGAGTCTGGCATTTACGAATAAGTGAAGAAGTTGTAGACTGATTCCGAAAAAAGAAAATAGGGCAATTCAACAGTCCAAAACAATAGGAACTTCCCTCCGACTGGAAATTGCTGCTCCGAAAAGGAATTCCGAAGAGCAGTACAAAGATTCAGTCGTTTTGTCTCTCCGCCCCTACTTGTTCTACTTAAAACGAACAAGGGAAAAGACGAGAAAAGACACGAAAGAGCCGTAAAATCCGTGGAAAACATAAAAATTTGACGACGGGGACAAAGAAGACGACGATGAAGACGAAGTGTAGAAGACATCGTCGTCGTCGTTCAGAAGTAGGTCTAGAAGAGGAAAGAAGAAGGCGACGAAGAAACAACGGAAATTACACGATAGAAGGAAGATGTTGGGAAAAAAGAGTTGATTCTCAAGTGGGAGGAGGCACCTCATGTTTTAGATTTAACAGGTGTTTTTTTTCAGTTTCAGAAAGGTCTTGAATAAGTGACAGTTGTAGACAAGTTAGTCAAAGGTGCATCTCCTTTCGTATGTAAAAAACTTAACTCGGTTCCTATAAGAGGTATCAAACAATTTTCAATTGATAAAATGTTTATCATAATGTCCCTAATATTTTATCAGTTGACAAATTTTTGATGTTTCTCATAGGAACCGAGTTTATTGAGCTCAAAACGCACTTATAGCGTGAGCATCTATTAGAGAAAATACGGTATTTTGCTAGATAACAAGTTGGATTTGTCCATCCATTGTTCACAATTCCAGAGTTCATCATGAAACCTTTTAGGTGAAATTGTAGAAAAACATTCCGAACTTCCAACTACCACGAAGCAAATAGCAAACACGGTACATGATTCTTCAGAATATGGGAAATTTCTATAATAGGTTGCTATCCAGAATGTGAACCCAAAAATTGTTTCATCTACATTTTTTTAGATAAGTCCGTTTTCACTGAATTACAGACGCGCTGATCTTGAAAGCGTTTTCTTAGCGATTTTAAACCCAAAGCGATGCCGCACAAATCTCGAAAAACCAAAATCTGAAACTAACCGATATCCAAAAGTCTGATTGCCTCGTTGTTCGGATTCACGTAGAGGAAGGTGTGACGTGGGTCCGAAGACATCTGAAACTATTGATTCACATGGGGGCAAAATGGAATATTGAATCAGGTTAAAAGAAGAGAGATGATATGAACAATCAGAAACAGTAAAGTTTTGTTGCAGTGAAAATTAAAATTCCTCAACTTCTAATTACTGTAAAACTTTGTAAAACTATTTTTTGCTAATCTTTTTTTTGCCTAATTTTGGCAAAGTTGACAAATTTTCTACATTTCGAACGAGGATCAACCAATTTGTACGAAAATTTTTGGACAAAATAGCCGGGAATATAGGAGAGCCTCTCTAATAGAAGGGCACCTGAAGCCTTCCGGAGATACCTTGGAACAACAGAATGGCCCGCGTTCCTAGTATAGGTTTTATGGAAAATTGAATACGTGGAATAGTGGAAAAGCCTGGGAAGAGATAGAGAGAAAGAGAGATAGAGAGAAAGAGAGAGAGAGAGAGAGAGAGAGAGAGAAAGAGAGAGAGAGAGAGAGAGAGGAGAGAGAGAGAGAGAGAGAGAGAGAGAGAGAGAGAGAGGAGAGAGAGAGAGAGAGAGAGAGAGAGAGAGAGAGAGAGAGAAAGAGAGATGATGTAGATATCCTTAAACAGTAAAATATTTTTAAAAATTGAATTTCCTCACTGTTTTTTGATGGAGTTATTGTTCTCTGAACTTGTCAGAGGCTCACCAAAGAACTATGCCATGTGGCTCTTAAATTAACCAGCTCCTCCTCCGTCTAACCACTCATATCAGACAAATTCCACCGCTCCTAGACAATAAAACCCCAAAGACCTTTTGTTTTTTATTATCCCATAGAATATTTTAGGACTACAGAAAAACCAAGAAAAGGGAATGAGTATCCATCACTACTAGTAAGTAGACAGATCCTTCTCTCTCGTCATAACCCAAAATTTTATTATCTCTCACTTTTCATTTTTATGTGTTTCTAGATCTTGTCTTCTAGTTCTTCTTTTATGTTCGATACGTAATATGAACAGGAAGTGAGCAACTGTTGCTCCCACAAAAAACAGAAATCAAGGAGATGGATATGGAGAAGGGATGGGAAAGAGATAAGGGGAAGGATGCAGAATATAGAAATGTCAAAATCAGAAAAGGAGAATAAGGAGGCGGGGATGAAGAAGGGAAAAGGGAATAAGTGCATTCTTATTTTTATTGGTTTTTTTGTGGAGAAAGAAGATGATTGAAGCCTTCAATTCGAAAAGGTAGATTTTTGTTGAAGGATTTTCGAAATTAAATGAGGTGTACGATTTTGACATTTTTGTGATCGAAGAAGAGCCAAGTTGACCATGTATACCAGTAAAAAAAATTTTTCTTATGAGTTGAAGAAAAAATATTGAAACTGTAAATAACTTGTTAAAAAGCCGTCGAAGGCAGGGGTAGGTAGAAATTTTTTAACCTGTACTAGAAGTCCCCCACTGTCAAATTGGAGCTCAATTACTTAACTCCTATGCAAGATATCAAAAATAGTTTAACTGACAAAACACTAATGATATCACAATGAACAATAAATCAGTTGACAAATTTTGTATACTGTAAACACTCTAATAGAACGTCACCCAATTCGTCAAATGTCAGCCCACGTATCTCATTATCTGTGAGAGATATCCAAAAGTGGTTAACCAATAAAATGTTGCTGATGTTATGATAAATATTTTATTAGTTGACAGTTTTTTAATATCTTTCAAAAGAAGAGATATAAAGGCCCAAAGTGGACAGTCCGGGTGGCGTTCTATTAGAGTGTTTACGGTATTAAAAACGTGTAAACTGATAGAACACTAACTTAAAACGTTAGGAAGCATTTCTATTACAGATTTTACAGTGATTTCAGTGAAACGGTTGTTCGAGGACACATGCATTTTTCAAAAAAACACGAAGGTGGTTATCCATAACATATAAAAAGAGTATTCACATTTGCTTGTCTCTCTGGTTCCTTTATTCTCTTTTTAAAACTATTCCGTTTGACGTAACTAGGCGGTTACTATAAATCCATCAAAAATAGAAAAAAAAACAACCAAAGTTTATGGCATGTGTGTCTGGGGTTTAGGATCATAAATAGAATTGGAGAATCTCTAGGGTCTTGAAGTTTTATCAAGTTTTCTGGGAATTTGAAGATAATGAGTTTTGGTGGTTTTTAGAGCGATTTGATCAGTTTTAATACTACAGTCTCATATTTGTAAGGCCAATGAAACAGTAATTTTTGAAAATTGACTTCAAAAATGGGGCACATGAAAAAAATAATTTTGCACAAATTCAGTTCACATAGTCCCCTCGAGTAGTTGGACTTGTAGATGCTGGCGGAGGTGCTTCGTCGCTACCGACTGAGCTACTGTGGCTCAAGCTGCGCGGCCGACCGATATCGTGCGAACACTAATCACTGTACACTGTCACGTCAAAATACATACCGTAACTCCAGAAAAACACTCTGAAACATTTCCTGTCGCTCCTTCTTCTCGATCAGTTAAAAAACTACTCGTATTCGTAAGGCCAATGTAACAGTAATATTAAAAATGTGATTTTGAAAAAAAATCAGAGTTCATAAAATTCCAAAAGATTTCAAAAATATTATCAGATATCAAAGTTCTGGATATTAATTGTCGGTTCAGGGGTAGAAGAGTCGTAATTTTTCTTTGGGGACCAGGAAAACTTGTTCGAATATCTCGGAAATTACAGTTTTCAATGGAAAATTTGAGAATTAAGATTTCCGAAATTTATTCCTAAAAATTGGGCTGATTGTGAATAAGACGGAGACTGGGCAACAACATGTTGGGTAACAAGCAGGGTTGGGATTTTACGTTTACGGTTTTTCCGGATTTTACGGCATTTCGAGACAACCACAAAGTTTTACAGACCTCCGTAAAACTGTATCCGTAAAATCCATAAAAAACCGTAAAATTAGCAAAATGATTGTTTTTGACTAGCAAAACATATTTTTTTCGGAGTTTGGTGTTATTTCAAATATGTAACATTGCTAAATTTCAATGCCTAAATCCGAAAACTGTGTATTCTCAAACTTTTATTATCGAAATTTTGGAAAAAAATGCCGAAAAATGCATGTGAACGTTCGATCAATGCTCAAAAGTCGTTCTGAAGAGACGAGGAGCTCAAAAAAAATACCAAAAAATCGATATTGTATTTCTGACGACATTTTTTGAGAAATTTGAAATTTTTTATGATAAAAATATAAAAATACATAATTTTAAAATAGTTTAGTTGGAAATTTGCAAAGCTACATACTTTAAGTATTGCCAAGCTTGAAAAATAGGTTTTACATGTCAAAAACAGTCATTTTGCAAATTTCACGGTTTTCACTGTTTTTACGGAATTTCACGGATTTTAAATCCGCAAATTTTAGTTTTCACGGATTCCGTAAAACATAAAATTTTAAGCTCAGCCCTGATAACAATTAAATGCAAAATACTAGGAAAAACCAATCCACTCATACATGCATTCTTCCCATTTGCCCATTATTTTCCATATTAGCTCCGCCCACTTTCTATCACTTCCTTGTTTTCTGATCCCGCCCGTTTCGTGCCATTGATAAAGAAACAAAACATATTCAAACGAGAATAGACAAAAATTGAGTGGGTTTGGACATTGAGAAAAAAAAGGAGAGGGACCAATAAAAAATTGATGAAAAATGTGAAATGAGCATCCCATGGAGTCTTCCCCCTTTTGCATAGAGCATTCATAAGCTCATCATCAAAAAAGTGGAGTATTTCGGAAAATAATTACAGCCTTATTGAGCAGAAAAAAGAAGAAAAAGGAACGAAGAAAAAGGAGAAAGAAGGTTACGTCACAAAGTGAAAAAAGAAGAGAAAAACGAGCAAATTCGAAATGGCCGGAGGCGCCTAGATTAGTGCGTTCCTATAGGGTTAAAATTGACACAAGTTTGTGTGTATAAACAAATTTCTAAGGACCTTTTTCCCATGGATTTCCATTTTGACCTACTATTTTCTTTTTTCCTTGCTTTTCATTTCCCTTTTCAGACTCTACTTGACATTCCTGTGGGATCTTCCGACTACTGTGAATCTCGAACCTTCGGTTGAGGTCGTAAATATCAATTGGAGCCTCTGATGAGAGTGTATGAGAGATGAAGAGGAGCAGAGAGCGGTCAAGTTTTTGTGGAATGAAGATACAACATCGTTTTTAGTGTAAATGAGTTGACAAGTGGCATGAAGAGGTGGAAGGAGAAAAGAGCAAGAGTTCGTTTTTCAGAAAATCCTTCCTTTCCTTAGCTTCCTAGCGGTCAGTTGTATTACTTGCTTGTTTTTAATTTTCGGTTCAAAGTACCGTAAACCTGTAATAAAAGGGCCTCCATATTGCCAACTTTGAGCTGATTTTTCTTGGCTCCGATGCAAGATATCAAAATTTGGCCAACTGATGAAATGTTTATGAGATTATGATAATCAACTTGTCAGTTTACAACTTTTTTATATCGTGGGCAGGAACCGAAATAAATTATCTCAAAGTCATATTGAAGGGGTCCTCCTCAGCTACAGTATTCCTGCATATTGTAATGTTTACTGATATCTATAGATTCTAAGTGGTAATAGATCTCTTCAAGAAGCAAGAAATGTTTTACTTTCTCAAAAACGTGCAGCAATTGCTAAGAAAATGAAAAATTCCGTTTCAAAATTAAAAACCAAAAAAACATGTTTCAAAACCGCCTCAAAACTTTGGAACACTCTTCACCTCCGTTTTGTTAAAAAAAAAATAAAATAGTAAAAAAATAAAGTAGTAAATTTGAAAACTACCGAAGATTTACCGGTATTTTATCGGTAAATTACCGATAAGTTACCGGTAAATTTTCGGTAAAATTTTTATTTTCCTCGAGGACTACACGAATGTTTTTTTCTGCTGTTTCACTAGTTTTTTGACAGTTTGCAACAGTTTTGAAATGGTCAGTTCTAAAACGTCGCGGTTCTAAAACGTCGTAGTTCTAAAATGTCGCGATTCCAAATTTTGAAAAAAAAACAGAAAATTTTCTTAGAAATTACCGGTAGTTTTCGGTAAATTTACCGGTAAATTGCCGGTTATTTTACCGGTAAACTACCGGTAAAAATTTACAGGTATTTTACTGGTAAATTACCGGTAAATTCACCGAAACTGTACCGATAGCACACACTGAACACTGTAAAGTTTGGGCTTTACTTGGTTTCTATGCAAGATATCAAAAGTATGTTAATTGACGAAACATTTTTGATATTATGGCAATCAATTTAGTTGACAACTTTTTTTCATTTTTTGATAGCGACCGAAAAAAATTGGTTCAAAGTTAAACGTAAGGGGCCCTTCTATTACAGGTTTTACGGTATCCTAGCATATAGGTATTCCTATCTCGCCAATACGGCATTCAGGTCACAATAACACATTACTATCGTAATTTAAACATTCCCTACAAAACTAAATTTCTGTTTCATAATCCCCATACAATTTTTCCAGAATCTTTCTTCAGCAATCCCGTGTAAATCCCTGGCCCACAAGTCTCCCTTTTTTCAGACAATGACCGAAGTCGGTGGGGTATTCGTACCTCAAGCAATAGCACCACTGTTCTCGATGCCTCAATCGACAATTGACGATGTTCAAAACACCACAACGTCTCCAATTCGTTCTCAACCGTTTTCGTACTCGAAACCAACTCCCGGAGGTCCAAAGCTTCATCAGAGAATCAAATGTCCTAGGGTGAGTGTATACTGTTGTGAGACGACTGTCTTTGAAATAGGCAGTTATTTGGGAAAGTTTTCAATTCACCGATATTTTGGGAGCCTGTTAAAAGGAAAAACGCTACATTCCACCACACACGGATTGTTTAGCTAATATCTTTCCATGTGTACCTGTACGAAGCAGAAATTAATTTCAGAAGAACGTTTTGAATTATACATCGAGAAATATTTTGAGAGGATCGAGAACACATTGTGGATTTGATTTGAATCACTAAACTACATGTGACGTTCCTGAATTCTGTATTGATCTTGAATGAATTCGTAACATGCATCAGAATAATTCCCAATAATCGTAATTCGGTCTGGATTTTTTCAAAAACAAAAAAACTGAGATACGATGTGACTCTATTTTCAGATGTATATCTCGTTCATGAAACAGTAATAATATTATTTTAATAATATCGCTCCTATTTTTCTAAAGTGATGTTCACAATACTGTGATCTTTTTACAATCAGTAAATTTATCGTGAAACCTGTTATAGAAGGGCCCCAACATTTCACTTTAATCTGATTTATAACGGTTCCTCTCAAAAATATAGAAAAGTTATCAACTGATAAAATGTTTATCGGAATATCAACATCGTTTTCGTAGTTTTTAGTTTTCATATCTTCGACAGAAATCGATAAAAACTCACTCAAACTTGACTGTGGGGCTCTTCTATTATAGATTTCATGGTATATGCTGATTTTTCATAACCGCTGCAATATTTTTCCGTTTTTCTTGAGAAACAATTGATTGTTTCTTTTCCCAATGTAAAATCAATTTGACTGGTAAAATACGATCTGACATTGTGAATTAGGTTTACATGTTGCTGCGGGAATTATAATCGTAAACGGATCTTAAAGAATCCGGAACTAGTCGGATTGAGAGAATCCCAATAAAGTTTGGTCCTTATGCGAGCTCCATATTCTGTCAATTGGCAAGTGTTTCAAAAATTGATAAGTAAGAAAGTTGAGACTTTCAAAACGCCTATAAAGGATCCGTTACGAGTAGAAAATTTAGCGGAAACCTAAACCCAAACGGATTAGTATGCGCGTAACCGATGAATACAAATTAATGAACATCTGAAACGGGTTCTCTCGAACCGCCGGCTTTTTTGCACTGGAATAAAGTTGCTTAAATTTTAATTCTTACAATCAGCATTCGTCAGGAGACATCTGGTTAGGATGGTTTCAGCGAAAACAAAATGAACTTATTGATGGTAACCTAGACTTGAAATCCCTATTTCAAAAACTACGGAAGAAATTTACAGTTTTGCCAAGAGAAGTTTCAGCCCTTCAGAAGTTCCATTATGATGTTATGTTTTCAAAATATATTTTTGTCGGATATGAGTATATAATTCGATGGGAAAAGTATTTTGTTTTCTTTATTTGCAGTCTCAATTCCATTAAGAAACTGTTTTTTTTAATGAAAAAAGATTATTTTAATGAGTCGTACGATAACACAGCAACTTTTATGTCTGGAAATTCGCCACAATCCACGCTTCAAAGTTCCATAAGCCATCTGACCCCTTTGGTTTTATTTTAGTACCTTTGGGAATGAGATACTTGAGTTGTCTCAGTTGATCCTTCTCTATCTCTCATAGAACTCTTTTTTCTTCTTCTCATCAATTAATACTTTTTGACTGGCGAAGAAAGTTAGCATCTTCTTCACCCGACTCATCACCTATTTTTTCCGGCTTTTTCTCGTTTTTGTGTTGTCTTCCTGAAGCAGAGCCTTCGTTTTCCTTCTCAAAAATGTGTAAGACACAGCATGAAATCTTTTCTCTGCGTCTCTCCAATCACTATACTATTCAGTCATCTGCCAGGCGCCGAAATCATCTTGGCAGGAGCAGAAGCACATTCTCTTTCTCTTCGATTGAGTTGATACGTTAACAGTGAGAGGGTCCGTTTTTGAGCCCACTCAAAAATCAACCTCTTTTCTTACTTTTTTCTTCTTCTTCTCTTCGAGAGTTTTCTTTTTCTTATCACTTAACGGAGGCCCGTTTCCGTCGCGAGGGTCAGACGCAAATCAACGAGTCGTTTTGACCTGAAATACGAGTAGATCCCATCACATTTTTGAACTTTTATTTTCTGTTTCAAAATGTTATTGTGTGCCCCAGTACAAACTTTTTTGTTGATGGAAGGACGTCTATGTATACTTCGAAATTGAAATTTTTTAGGTAGTTCCACTATCGTTCTGGTCATCGTTGGAAGACGAAGAGGATCTCGACGTCCCGTTGCCACCCGAACCGGAAATGCCGCAAACTGTACATCTTCAGTACAACTCCCCAATGGGATTGTATTCCAAGTGAGTTATTCAGTTTATCATTTTCTAGTTCTTTCCTCTGGCATGCCTGATAATATTTAACTCCATCAACTCTGATTCTTTTTATGAATACCTAGAGCAAAAACTGTGGGCAACCTACACACAATACTGTTTTTTTCTAATAAAGGTCTGCCCAACCTGTCAACTTTGAGCTCACATATCTCGATTCCTAAGAAAGTTATAAAAATTTTGGCAACTAAAAAAAATATTGGTGATATTATGATAAATAGTTTATCAGTTGAGAAAATTTTGATATCTTTAACGGGAATCGAGTTGATGGAGCTCATAGTAGACTGTTTCGGGTGGGCTTCCATTTGGGGAAATACGGTATCGCGGCAAACAGATGGCTGGTAAAAAAAACAAGTTTCAATAGTGTACTGAATAGCCAGACTTTTGCCTGTTGATCCCGTTCGCGACGTATAGGCTCAGTTCATGCAAGGGAAAATGGTTTTTCACCGGGGGAAAACACCAACCAAAACCCCATGGGCTCCTAGGCCCATTACCGTTGATAAAATTTCTATTACTTCTTCTTCAGTGCTAGAAGTCTATGCCAACACTAGTTATTGTTGTTTCATTTTTTATCTTTGATTGAATCGTTTTTGAAAAGGGGACGTTCAGTGAATATAATTCAACCTAGCCATGAACCCCAAAACATGGCGACCCTTGAGGCCTTCTAGTACTTCTTTCGCAATTGACCAATCAAAAGACTAAAAAGAAACAACAATAAGGAGCGTTTGCAAAGAGCTTCTTAGCAGTAGAAAAGTGCCAGTGGAAATTATCCAACGAGTAATAAAGTTGAGAGAATGTAATTTCCCAAAGAAGCTTTCTTTTTTTCAATATGTGAAATTTATTAACTGGGACAGAAGAAGGGGCGTGACCTAATATCGCATAACGTGAATTAAAAAACGATTATATATTTGAAAAGCTTGAAAATTAAACATAACTTGACGGGACCTAAAGAGAAAAAGAACAGTAAAACAAATGGGTTAAATCGCGCCAAGGCGCACCAGCCAGCTATTTGCCGCGCCAAAAACGCGGCAAACACGCTAGTGCACCAGCGTGCATGATGTACAATGTTTGGTTGATTTGATTGTTAAACGTACTAACCTTGCCCAACTCATGTTCCGAAGATAGTCCAAGTCGCAATCGACTCGAAATTTTACACATCTACTTAATAATTTTCGTCAGCTTTTTTGTTCAACCATTCGCCATAGTCCTGCTTAGAACTGTTTCAGGCATCAGATATCCCATAGTCAAGTTTGAATAAAAAAGTTTTGTCAGGTGATGAAAAGCCTTTCTATGTTCACAAGCACTGTTTCAAACGGTATGTATGTATAATTAATCTGAATTCTTTGCCTTTGATTGGACTGCCTTAAATGGTCTATGTTATCAAATTTTTTGGTGTTATGTTCGGGATCATTTAAACATATTCTCATCATCTTATGAACATCATTTCAAAATAATGCGCAGCATAATCAAATATATCTTTAAATTTTCAGAGAGGCAGCTGTTGAGCAATTCCAGCAGCAAATTGGCGAAACTCCACAGGACTTGCCAGCCCAGGATAAACATTTCGATCCCTCGAAAAGTGCAACTCTCAAGTACTTGAAGGTAAATGTCGCACTTTTTACGAAATCACATAGAGTCATTGATTGAAGATTATCAAAAATAGGAGAAACTGTAAATTTTTCAGGAAGGCGAACGAGAGAATTTTGGCGAAAACTTTTTCGAAAAAGTAGCTCAAGCCGAGGCTCCACGCGTCCCTTATCAATCGGAGCCAACTTGGGCACGAACTGCAAGAGAGAAAAGCGAACGAGCTCGCAGCAAAACTCCAGCTGACCCACATCAAGCATACCGCCCAGCTAGCTCTCCAGCCCCAGCCAACCATCCAATCCATGCTGAAAATGCTCGTGAGCACGCTGAAAAGAGCAGAGTATTCACTCATAACATTAACGAACCATACGGAAGATCCTATTGGGAAGCCAGTCACACCCTTCCAAGATACCGAAGAAGCCACTCTGCTGGACATGATCTTGCCAATCGAGGATACGAATTGGGAGGAATGGATTACACTGGAGGAATCCATGTGGACCATGGAACTGATTATCAATACTACGAGGAACCGGCTAGAAAGCCGCAACCACCAAAGTTGCCACCTGGTTATGAACTAGGAGGAACTGATTTTTATCGTGGACATGTTTCTGGAGATGCCAACTACCGAGGACACGGACCGGATCCACCAAGACTTCGTCCAAAGTACACAGCAGATGCTCATGATCCATGCAATGTAGCTATGGCTCCAAATCTGGAAGGGGTGAGTCTATGTATTAAACGAAAATCACAGTTGAATCAGAAAATACTACAGTTTTATTTCCCATATGAAACAGTTATTTGAGTTTGTATAACAACGAATAACTACTCGTTTTCCCATTTTAGGTAGACGCGAACTTACTCGTCGGAGACACCCTTTCCAACCAAAAGATCCGTCATGAGGTCCGTCACATCGACCAGACCAAATTCGGAACATCCTTCGGTCCAACCCAAGGATTCACCCACGATCATTCCACGATGCCTCGCTACGCGGAACCTCCGAAGCCAGTTGTATATTCTCTCTCAGCCAATAAATCATTGGCTCGATCGGCATCTGTGCCCCGTTCATCTGCTCCACCAGACCAACACAATGTATGGAATGTTCAACAATCGGAAGTTGATAAGGAGGTAAGCTAGACTATTCGATCATTTTGAAAACCAAAAAGAAAATGAAAAGGTGAACATTCGAACATTACTGAACGACGAGGCTCTTCGAGCACCGAAACGTGAGCAATCGCCGTATTGGGCGGGACATTCTGAGCAGAAACATGAAGCGTGGCGAGGAAGAGTTGATCCACGACTTCAGAGATATGAGGTGCAAGATCATGTCGTGGTGTAGAGTACATGCTAACATTTGGGATTAGACTCCGTATTACTAGAGCTAACAGTTTAAATAATAATGTTCATAACACTGACCACTAACTGATTAAGCAGAAACACCGCAATCTGAACTATATCTCTATTCACCAGGAATTGATTTTGATCCCTCAGTTCCTCTCACATTTTTCTATAATTTCTCTGAAAATTTTTCATTACTCTCTTCAATTTCAGACATACATCACCGAGCCAAACTGGCGTCGCAACGTCGACCAACGTCGTCTGGCTTGGGAACGTCGTGCTTTCGAAACCGAACAAAAATTGAGCCGCCCGTATTCGGAAAAGGTGAGTAACACAATGAATGACGAAATCAATCCCCACCGAACAACACGGAAATGTGGGATCTGTGTGGGGAAACACCGGAAAAAAAAATCAGAAAAAAAAAGAATCCGGAGGAAGAGATAGAGAGATGATAAGTGATGTTGAGTGTGCTCTGAAAATTTCTTTTCAATAGGGAAAAAAATTTGGGGTGAAATAGTACTGAAACACGGAGAGACGCAGAGAGAAACAAGCAAGATAAAGTTTTTAGGTGGCGCCAGGCGTGCCTCCGGCCTGGCATGCTGAGGCACAACACAAGCATCATCAGTGGCAGCAACAGGCGGATAATATGAACACTCAAGTGAGTTTCTTTTAAATTTAAAAACATGTTAAATATCGGAAAATGAGGTTATGAGGTATATTAGGACCGTATTGTTTAGCCTTTTCGATAATTCTTACAGGAACCAAGATTCCGTAAATGATCTAATATGCTTGCACTTTAAGCTGAAATATCTCGATTTTTGTAAGAGATATCAAAAATATGCCAACATATAAAATGTTGGTGACATTATGACAAACACTTTATCAGTTGACCCATTTTCGATATATCTCATAGAAATTGAGATAATTGAGCTCGAAGGGTACTATCAGTTAGAGTCAAATTAATGTATCATTTTCCAGAGCTACACCTACTCGAACACCGGTTATCAACCATCCCAACCAGCTGGTGGACAACAATCTTACAATGAAACGAGACAGTATTCATCGAACACCACTTCGAACTATGTGAGTTTGCTTTAATCGTAGAGTTGTTTTATTGTATTAAGGCGGTGACTTTTTAGTTGTCCCAAAAAATGCGGTTTCATTTTATTGAGAAATAATTTATTCAGTGTTGTATCTTTTAATAGATCCCTGAGAAGAACTCATAATAATATTTTCCAGCCATCTCAAACTCAACAATACCAACAACACCAAAACCAATATTCGTCTCATTCGGATCATTCGAATGCTCAACGTCTTTTGAACTCTGGTAAGTTCGTTTTTTCCTTCTCTTGGAGCAAAAAAAGAAGAGAAACAGCTGTTCTTCGTTCGCCTACGCAAACATAAAAAGAACAGAGAAAACACGAGGAATCGAATGGGCACTGATATGAAATATTGAGATGAAAAGTATGTTTTGAATCGAGGAGAAATAATTGAATAAATTTTGATTGAAGCATACGTTTGAAATTCCGGGCCCGAGAAAATGGATTAAAAGAGTTTAAAAATACGTCTTATGAAGACTTCTAGGTTATCTATTAAATCACAACTTCCAGGCTACAACACGAATCAAGTGGACTATGTGCTTTCTCATAAGGACAAGTACAACGAGGGACCACACTACCAGCCACCAATCATCAACTCATCGGCCACCGCTGCTAACAATAACACGTCTTCGTCTTCTCACCAATACCATTCCTCTTCTCAAGCCATTCCATTAGGAGGACCAACTCAAGGAGGACACTCTTCGTCTTCTTATACCACGGAGACAAGAGTTACTGGTGGAGGAGGAGTTCCGGTGAGCAACAACAACTACAGTAACCAGAACTACTCGTCATCGGCCTATAACTCATCATCCACTCAACAACAAACCAAGACCATTCCGGTTCAGAATTATCAGGTAACAAGGCAATTTATGTTTTCAGAGAGGATACACAGACACAAAACGCTTTGAAGTCATTGAAAAACAATTTCAGTTTCAACAGCTCCATTAAAATTATTTCTGAAATCAAATGTTGATAATTTATCAAATACTCAGCTATCTTAGCGGTTATCGCACATTTCCAGCCTACATTCCCACCACTTTCTATCACTACTCCAGCCTTTGGCACTTCGTTTTTCGAGGTTCAAACGTTGATCGTAGATGTTTAGAGTAGTCTTCCTAGAAACCCTGAAAGCATCTTACACGTGGCTTACTCACATGTATCAGTGCATAATACCTTAATGGGTGTACATACTTAGAATTTTTCAGTTTTTAGTCTTTTTTTTAACCAAGACTCAGTTACTATAACCATATCCTCAGTTTTTACTAGTACTTATCAGAAAATTTTGTCTTCAGAATACTCAAAAATCGTTCAATGAGACGACTGAAAAGTTCCATCGTGACTTGGCATCGCCACTCTCTAGATCCATCCCAGTCCAAACTGCAGGACACTTTTCTGAAGTTTCTAAAGTTTTCAACTCGGAGAGGTAGAATCCATAATACTCGGAATCTTTTCTAACATGGAATGACTCCAAGTGTTACCCTCAAAAAAATCGAGACCTATATGGTTGGATAGAGCGTAAAAAGTTATTTTAGATTCCAAACGGAATAGTTGGTAAAAAATTTTTTTTGGGAGTTATGGTCCAAAAAGTACCAAAAAATGCCTAAATTTTCAAAAAATCATGCTCACACAAGTTATGCCAAAAAATATCGATTTTTGGCACTTGGCTTCATTGAATTCGTTGTCCTCGGCGGCCGGTATGGTGAGGGGCATACTTGTTTTTGTGATTTTTACTTGCGTATCGTTTGCCTAGAGTGTTTGAAATAAAATCCTGCGGCATACAAGCTCAATTTTTCAAATGCCGTACCATTTCTTAAAATCATCATCTTGAAAAAAGCAAAATTTTGACATGTGACAGGGCACATCTATAGTTAAACTTGATAGAAACGGCCAAACTATTTTTTAAACACAATCAGAAGAATGTAATCTTATCAACGGCTTGAACAGAATTTTGATTTAGGCCCTAGAATAAAAAATATTTACGATTTTCCGAGCCTGACCCCTATTTTTGGTGAAGTGTGACATGTGACAGGGCACATCTATAGTTAATCTTGATGGAAATAGCCAGACTCTTGTTTAAACATGATTAAAATGACAAAATCTTATCAACGGCTTGAACAGAATTTTTAATTAGGCCTTAAAAATAAAAATATTCACTGATGATGGGACACCTTTTGTTTTTGATCATAACTTGAGAACGAAAAAAAATATCGAAAAACTGTTAACGCCATTCGATTTAAAATAAAACAATAACATAGAAAAAGTAGAATCAACTTGGTCCCTGTGGTGAAAGTAGGTTAAATGAACGATTTCCGAAAGATATCCTTCCAGCTTCGGACAGCCGAAATTGATCTTTTTCCATTTCACCTATTTTCACGATACGAAACAAACCAATAAGATTTGTCTAATAGTATTTTCTGATTTTAAATCGAATGGCGTTAACAGTTTTTTGATAATTTTTTTCGTTCTCAAGTTATGATCAAAAACAAAAGGTGTCCCATCATCAGTGAATATTATTATTTTTAGGGCCTAATTAAAAATTCTGTTCAAGCCGTTGATAAGATTTTGTCATTTTAATCATGTTTAAACAAGAGTCTGGCTATTTCCATCAAGATTAACTATAGATGTGCCCTGTCACATGTCACACTTCACCAAAAATAGGGGTCAGGCTCGGAAAATCGTAAATATTTTTGATTCTAGGGCCTAAATCAAAATTCTGTTCAAGCCGTTGATAAGATTACATTCTTCTGATTGTGTTTAAAAAATAGTTTGGCCGTTTCTATCAAGTTTAACTATAGATGTGCCCTGTCACATGTCAAAATTTTGCTTTTTTCAAGATGATGATTTTAAGAAATGGTACGGCATTTGAAAAATTGAGCTTGTATGCCGCAGGATTTTATTTCAAACACTCTAGGCAAACGATACGCAAGTAAAAATCACAAAAACAAGTATGCCCCTCACCATACCGGCCGCCGAGGACAACGAATTCAATGAAGCCAAGTGCCAAAAATCGATGTTTTTTGGCTTGTGTGAGCATGATTTCCCCCGGGGTATTGATCGGTTTCTATAGTAAATCAAATGTGCTGAATTCAATGGTCATAATGAAAAAAAAAAGTTAACCTTGGATTTTTGAGATATTGAAAATTTTTTTGATTTTTTCAAAAAATCAATAATCCAATCAAAAGGAAAAAAATTGAAAAATTTTATTTTCAAATAATCAGATAATTGTCTATCTACTGTTTTTTTAATTTCAAAAAACGGACATAAACTGACGAAGTTATGATTTTTTGAAAATTGAGGCATTTTTGGTACTTTTTGGACCATAACTCCCAAAAAAATTTTTTTACCAACTATTCCGTTTGGAATCTAAAATAACTTTTTACGCTCTATCCAACCATATAGGTCTCGATTTTTTTCGAGGGTAACACTTGGGAGTCATTCCATGTAAGTTCAAGATTTCTAGAAAAGAGAAGAAAGCCGCCAAGAGTCTCGGTGCCACAGTGAAATCGCTGAAACCACTGAACAGACTGAGCAACGTTCTGAACATCATTTTGAAAAAAAGGCTTGGAATATTAGGGGGGAATATTTAAAATAAAGTACATTTTCAGGAGGAGAACTATCAAGTTTCTCAAGATATTCCACTTCCATCAGCTGATCAGGTTTTCGAGGTTTATAACCAGTGACTGACTATCATAATCAACAAACCTATCAGCTTACAATCTAAAATGTTCACTTACAAACACAACAAAACATATAATCAAGATAATCAACTCCCCATTAATCAATATTATTGGTAAATTGATTGGAAAAATACTTTTTTCAGAGCTCCAACTACAACAAAAGCTATTCAAGCCAAACTACAACTCAACATCAACCACAACCGGTTTTAACTGGAAACAACTATTCGACTAGCTACCATACCGAGAGATCGTCGACTGTGAGTTTTTAGTGGTTTTCGATTTGAATGGTAATTAGTAATTTCGGCTTGGTGCTTCACTGAAACGAGATGAGTTCAGATTTTTCTGTTTCACAATGTCGATTAAAGATTCTATGGAATTTTCTGTCATTCGTTCCATTCGAGCATCTGCAGCCCTATTTATTTTTTCCAGACCACCAACCAACAACCACAAGCGATTGCTCTTCCACCACCACAAAACCACTCGAGCAGCTATCACACCGAGACTCACAGCTCCACTGGACCAATCATGATGCACTCCCCAGGAGGTCATTCCATGAAGAGCACTGAATTCTCTTCAAGCCGTCACCACAAACAAGAGACCACCACAACTACGACAACTACTCCACAACCAGTCTTCCATACAACCACTCTTCCAATGACCAAGACCACCTCTTACAACTATTCGTCGGTAAGAAAATAGCTATAGTAATACAGACAAAGCAATACATGGTGCACCTTTAGGAATAGTGTGAAAATTTTTGAAACATCATTCATCAGTTCAATGAAACTGAAAATAAATTTCAGAGCACCGTCCCATCTCAACCAGCCAAGCCATCGTTCAACCAGGAGAGTTACACCTCTCACACCGAGAGAAACAGCTCTTCTCAAGGATTCCCACAGCAACGACTTCAACCATCTGGAGGATATTCGTATGAGAATTATTCCAGCAGCAGAAAAGAAGAGGTGCTTAGGAATTGGAGTAGGCCTCGATTTTGCTAGGTTTTTATACAGTAGTGACTCTAATAGAACGCACTCTAAGTCATCAACTTTGAGCTCATGTATCTCATTTTCATCAAAAAGTCAAAAAGTGGTAAACTGATAAATTCTTTACCATAATATCAAAAATAATTTGTCAGTTGATTACTTTTTGATATCTGTCACAGGAACTGAGATAATTTGGCTCAAATTTAAAATAAAGGAGTTGTTAGAGTGTTTCAAGCGTATTTTCTTTTAAAAAACTAGGAGAGATTCGATAGCATAAGCAAGCAGAAACAATGGTACAGTGAAAATTGAAGTGTATTTTTTTCAGAGCCGTCGCGAAGAAACGTCTCGTCCAGTGTCTCAACTTTCTCAATACTCAGAATCCCGGAACTACAAGAGGAACTACGAAGAGAAGACCGAAACAACAACAGTTCCAGCTGTTGCTCCAGCCACCAACTTCACCTATAAGGATCTTTCAAATGCTCAATGCGTTGATGATGTGTTCAATAAGAAGACAGAGATGAATGAGTCTCTTCCAGTTGGATCTGTTTTCAATACTCATAATAATACCGAGGTGAATCATAACTAGGGCGAATCTACTAGAATTTTTTTTCGGATGAGTTTGATATAGAGATTTTGAAAGAGATGATTTTTTCAGAAATTTTTTGTGTATTCATGGAATTAGGTCCTTTATATACAGTCCTTTATTTAGAGTTTTCAAAACTAGAATTATTAACTTTTGAATTCCAGGGAGGATACCGTGACGTCAATGGACACGACGTCTCCTACAAAAGAGAAACTCAAACATCAGCTGATCCAGGACGGGAAACTGCTCTTCTGAAGGAAGAGGAGAAGCGAGTCGTCGAAACTCCACTGGAGCCAGGAGTCATTTCTCGCCACGTCACCACCAAGTACTATAAGAAGAAGACTGTCACCGACACCACCACCACCACTGCCTAATTTTATACCTTTGTGCTATTTTTTTTCCATTTGCTCGTTTTCAAAACCGCAACTAATTCTGGAGTAGTTTCTTTTGTTTATCGTAAATTGATATAATAACAAAAATAGTAGGTTCAATGAAACTGTGAAAATTTCTTTTATGAGTAAACTACATATGATATTTGGCGAATTTTCTTTATTGATTTTTCAAAATCATTTTTTTTTCAATATAAACACTTACCTGTAGATTTAGTTCTTTTTTAATTTTGACTGTATTTTTTAAAAATAAAATGTTTTCTTCATTTGCGATAAAAATTGTTTATCGATCTATAAAATGTACACGAAAAGAGACTAGAAATATAAATTGAGTAACTTGAAAAACAAATAAAAAGACCGGGGGGATTCCGAATTTCAGATTTTTCAGATAATTTATCGTTTGACGAGGCAGCAGGCACGAAGACTGAGAAGAACGGCGATTCCGACGTAGACTCCACACGCGATCCAGCAGTTGTAGGCGTTCTGTTGGTAGAGGCTGAAAAGAAGGCATAAACTAGGAAATAACGAAATTAGAAATCGACATTAGATTTATATAATTCTTGAAACTGTAACATTTTTTGTAAAATTAGACTTCTAGGAGCCTTTATGATTAGTGATGTGCGTTCTGGAAAAACAATTACATGTAGTCTCACCAAAACATCAACAAGTGAGGAAAAACTGTGAAATTTCATAAAACAGGCAGTAATAGTCAAAAGTTATGTTACCATTGGGAAATAGAGACTGAATATTTCAATTTTTCAAAGATTTCTCGAATATGTGAAACATGTTTTTTTTCAAATTTCCAGATGTGAACTTCTAGCTAACTCGGTTCCTAGAAGAGATATCAAAAATTTGTCAACTGATAAAGTTTTTGGCATTATATCAGCAACACTTTCATAGTTTACAGGTTTTGGTATCTTTTACAGAAATTTAGCTCAATGAGCAGAAATAGAGTGACGTCCTATTAGTTTACGGTATCTTGTTTTCTGTAAGAGACTAAAATGTTTCAAGTACCAACAGGTTCCGCACGATATCACAAAATTTTTGTCCACTGAAATCAAAATTTTTGTCCACCGAAAGACAAAATACCGGAAAAAAGCCTTAGTTTGTACCACCGAATTGTGAGTTTCGTACCCTCTTGTATCCTCTGAATTATGTGTCTCAAATATCGTCATAATATATAAATAAAGTTGCGGTTAAAACACGCCGAAGGCGCACCAGTCAGCTGTTTAAATCGTCAGATGCACCAAACAGACTGGAACAACGAAAAATGTTTCAAACTCAAACTTTTCATGTTTCTTTTCCTTTTTATATTTGAATGTCAGAAGAAAATGGCGGTTTCTTTTATTCTTGATTAGTCCTCGAAAATATTATTAACATGGTTTGGCAACAATGTTTTTTCCTATTTTAGCAATCAAGAAAAAACTCACTTATTCCAATTATTCGTTCTGTCCTTCCATGGTTTATTTTCCATATCTTTGGATTCAGCTGGAAGATCCTCGAAAAGACCGACGGATTGATTGTAGAACAATCCACCGAGAACGGCCTGAAAATTAAATTTTTTTCTGTTTCATTTCCTTTGAATGAATATTAAATTGTCTATATTACATTACAAAACTGGTAATCAAGAAAAAAACGTACCATAAAAACAGTACCCCAGAGGGCCAAAAACAAGAAGATTCCGGTGCAGAATGGTCCGAACATCTTCTCGGTATTACCTGAAACGTTGCACTAGATAATGGAACCAAAAATGAATTTCTGGAAGTAAAAAACATGAATGAAAATTAAATTAAATAGAAAAAAAAATCGATTTTTCCTCGCTCCGACTAGTCTTTCGGCACAAAGAGCATCAGTCTTTGATTACTGGTTGCTGATAAGAAGTGGGTCTCGCAACGATTTCATTTCCCTTTTTCATTTCTTATCAATATTTTCATGTCTCCGTCTCTTCATTAGGTTTTGACACTTTATTCAGAAAGATTGAAATTTGAAATTAACATAAAAAAAGAAAATTATTGAAGAAAAAGAATAGATCGAAGAAAGAATAGGTGATTTACAAAATTTAGAAGAAGAAACGGCCGGTACGTTTGTAGAGACGGCGGAGAGCCAATTTGTCGTAGTGTTCGTGTGGAATTGCGGTTGGAGTTGCGACGAAAACCTGGAAATAGGAGATTATTTTGAGACCGGTTTCTTGAGCTAGTTTGATGATCTTATTAGTGAGTCAGAATTATATTTTTATTTCGTGTGATCTGTTATCCATAAACTGAACAATTGACAATGATTGTTGCTCATATCAGAAGACTGAAACAGACTTAATTGAAATCATGAAAATGTCATGAATCAATATTTCAGGTTCTCTTAAACGAGGAGGGGTGATAATGAAAAAAAATAACTGCCTCGAAATGTTTTAAAGTTGAGCCTCTCGGGAAGTTTAACATGTGGGATGAGTATTGAAGGTGCTGGACCGATTGAGCCAAGTGGGCGAAGCTGGCATACCAGAAAAACGGGTACGAAAGCTGCATGCAGAGTGAACACTAATGTTCAACATTGTACACCGCTACATCAGAATTACCCTAACACATAAAAAACTCCGAAAATTCTTCTCTCCTCCACCTTTAAACCGATTTTTTGAGCTAGCTTGATGATTTTATCAGTAAATCAGAATAAAGTTTTCCAGCTAAACAATATAACGAACGATTCGTAACGATTGCTACTCATACCAAAAGACTGAAACAGACTTAATCGAAAATATGAAAAATCTCATGAATAAATACTATGAAAGTGAGACTGATTTTTATAATAAAGAGGGATTTCCCGAAAAGCTTCAGTCCGATTTTCCGGAAAATGTCAGAAAAAAATAGCTGAGAAGTAAGCCACCATTTTTTATGAGTAATTATCCATTTCTTAAAGTAACTCACTCCTTGGGTGGTCATGAACTCGCGGTTGAAAGCGTGATCCTGTGGTTTTCTCCATTCGTAAGCAGTGTAAGCGAATCGGTTGGCGAAATCGTCGGCCTGAAAATTCCCAAACTTCGTTTTGACTTCTTCATTTGTTATTCAAACCTTGAGACGAGAAGAAACATATCTATCCATGTAACGTTGTGATTCCTTCAAGTATGGAGCCAATTGACGAGCCTTCTGAAATCAACTTGACTAGGTTAAAATAACAAGGCAGTATCGATAAATGTAGAAGCACAATCAAATTAGCTCATATTTTAACTTGTTGAATTCATCACACTACTGAAACTGTAAAATTTTGCAAACCTCATCGAAGAAGATACGTTTTGTCTGGAAGCTGTAGTATGGGACGTGAGACGAAGCAGGCGAGATGTAGGTGTCCAATGGCTTGTATGGTTTGTTCACTTCACGATGGGTGTCTCTCCAACGAGCATCACTGTAGCTCTTGTTGTACCAGTCGTAGACGTGTGGTTTGTAAACTGGAACAGTGTGCACGATGCGTTGAGCTTCTCTGAAAATCGCAAAGAATAACTTTTTCCTGTACTAGAAGGGCTGGAACTTATATTGTTCCAATACCCTTTCGAAGGGCCCTTCTTTTACAGGGACCTTTCAATTAGAAGGATCCTTCTTTTTTTCCGGCCATTTTTTCTAAAACTTTTAATTTAAAATTCCGGTTAATTCTCATTCAAAATTTATGAGAACCTAATGTTTTCATTTAGAACAAAAAAGTGCTTTTCAACAAAATTTCTGTGTAATTGTGTAATTTGCGGAATATTTGACACTGAAACCGTACAGAAATTTTTCATTTTCAACAACGCGTTTTTTGAATAGGGCCCTTCTATTAGAGGGGCGCTCCTATTAAATTGGCCTTCTGATATAGGTGTTACGGTAAGTGTTGTTAGTTGAAATACAGAGAATTACGTATACGTAGCAGAGCAGCGCAGTAGTAAAGTATGAAAGTAAAACAAAAACTTCGAAACAGAATTTATTTTTCGTCTCCTACTAAATCAACTTCTGAGCAGTGAAAACGGTAAGCGATTCGGATGGTACCATTTTTGGATCTCTGGGGAACAAACCAAAACTCTATTTTTGTACCTCGCATTGTGCTTATTCAGCTTTTGTAGTTTTGTCCTTAAGTTATTGTACCCTCCGTATTATTTCCCAGTAAAAACTTTCATTGAAATGAAAAATTATTTTCCAGACAAATACATATATAATCTGTTTGAAACAACGAAAATAAGTTTTTGGTTGAATACTGAAAATGAGTATTTAAGATTTATTACTGGACCGCATTTTTTTTCAATCAAATTTTGTGTGGTTTTACAGTGTTCAAATTTTTACCATTGCATAAATTCTTTCTATCTAGCTTCAAATTGTCATATCAAGTCTAAACGTAACAGTAAAACTTCTTCACTATTCGAGTTTCAGTATATCATCAATCACTTATTGAATAAACTCCATGTTTCTTCTAATTTTCAATTTCTCACCTGCAATATTGCGGCAAGGCAAGAGATGGAGCCAACGTGGACACTGAATCAGACTTATGAATCGGATAGTCCATATCCTTGTCCTTGATGTAGGTCAAGTTGGTGAAAGAAGCCGAACGAGCGAGACGTTTTGGTTTGCTCCATGTGTTTTGAATGTACTCGTCGTAGAAGTTTTGTGGACGAGCACGCTCAACGTAGTATCTGGAAGAGGGGAGTGATTGTATTTGGAATCCTGTATTAAACGGGCCCTCATAACTTTGACCCTATTTGTCTGGATTAATAGAATAATTATCGCAAACTGGTCTAATGAAAAGTTCTCCATCAAAACCATTTTTTGCTGAAAATGTTCAGTTGTCTTTCACAGAAGAACACAGTTAAGTTTAACTTTGAGTTGGTTTTTCGGGGCCCTTCTGTTACAGGTTTTACTGTAAGTTAGGTCTTCAAGTAAACGCTATGGGGATTTCAAATGTAAATGAATGTTCAATTTTTTAAACATTAAAGAAAATAAAGTACTACTTACTTCGATGGATACTCCTTCCACCATTTCGTCTCCTGATCGACGTCGTCTTTCGCAAAACGACCAGCCGCGATGGTCGACATTACCTGAAGTAAAAAATAGTATAAAGAATCAATAGTTACCTTATTTTTAAATCAAAGAAATGAGAAACATAATGAAAGGGAAATAGAAGAAGTTTGAAAAATGAGGTGTTATCAAATTTCTCTAGATACAATTTACTGTCAAATGAGAATATTTAATGTCATTCTTCTTTATATATATAAAACGCTAGAGGCGTCTGTCCGTCCCCGTGTCCGTCTGTCAACTTTTGAAAAACTCGAAAAATAAATATAGATTTAAGTAACACTTTAGAAAAAGTCAAGAGTGAAGCTACGAACCAGTAAAATACTAGATTGAATTGCGCCGAAGGCGCACCAGCTTGCTGGCATTTAATATTCTTATTTGACAGTAAATTGTATCTATAAAACATTTAACGGAATGGACGGATGGAAACATTCAAAAATGAAGTCAATAAACAAGATTTTAAAAAAGCAATGATACAATCTGCATAAAACAGTATATTTTTCAATTGTGTTCCACCTAGAAATTTGAGTACAAAAAGACGAAAAAAGTAATAAAAAGTACTTTTCTCATCCCCCAAAACTCTGTGCCTTCAGTGCCGAAACAATCGGTTGGCAGGCTGCTTCTGCTCAACACGGTGAGCAGCAGATCCTTCTTCTTCATGAACTCCAACTTTTTGTCTGCGTCTCCGTTGATCTACCACTACAATCACCGAATCTCTCGCCTCGAAAAAAATAGAGCCACTGGAAAAAAAATGAGAGAGTCCTTCTCTTCCCAGTGTGTTTCAACTCTTCGCATCTCCGGAAGATAGATTCTCAGCGAATGCTGTGATGATGAGGATGGAGAGAAGAAAACGAGAGAGACATTACACACAGAAACAACGGTGAGCATCGAAGAAATGAGACGTGGGTGTGGGGGACGGATGGCAGGAAGATGGGAGGATTGAGAGGAGACAAAATGATGGAAGAATTGAAATTGGATGGGAAGACGAGGGTCAACAGAAAATATGGAAAATTGGTGACTGTTTAGTTTCCAGAGGTTACTGTTTCAAAAACTAGATAATTTTTCAAGATAATATTTTCTAATGACTATTGAATAAAATATACGTATCCAAAACTCACAGTCTTGATTTTAATCCTATCATGGAAAGAAGTCCCAGACAGTGGGAACTCATATTAATTTTTTAACCTTTGAAACAAAATTGTGCCTCATGAGAACTGATCGCCAAATAGTACAAAAAGTTTTGGATTCACAATTGTCAATTAATTGACTTTAAAAGTTTATTACAAAAAAATCAGAGCTGTGGAAGGAAACGCCGGTGACCGTGGCCAAAGGTCCCGCAACGGCAACTACCGTAACCTATTTTTAAAATTATTTTTCAATTTCTGTTCATTTCCGGTTGATTTCCGTACATTAACAGTATGATTACACTATCAAAAGTTTTAAAATTACTACTTTTTTGGGGAAAAACTCCATAGAAATCGAAGACAATCAGTGAAAAGGAGAAAAATTCTGCAAATAAAAATATTTTAGGTTACGGTAGTTGTCGTTGTGGAACCTCTGGCCACAGCGACCAGCGTGTTTTTTCAAAATCTCCGACTTTATTGTACCGATATAAAAATAAAAATGATAAATGTGAGATCCAAAATTATCTTGAAGCACCAATTCATTATTGAGAAACCATAGCAAGGCTTGATCAATATTTTTACAACGCGAATCTGAAGTTTCAATACTTCTGAAACAGAGTTTTCAGTATTTTTGTTTCAATATGTCAACTCCAATTTTTTTATAATTAAGCAAAGCTTTATTAGCATTTGACTCCGAAAAGTCAAGAAAAGAGAGTAAAAAAGAACAAAAAAGGGAAATGGGGAGCGCATTGAGAATGACTAGTTTAGGGTTTTTGTTAACGAGCTCTAAATAAAAGAAATCTCAAAAAAAAAAGAAAAAAAAAGGAAAACCGCGTAGGGAAACTAAAAAAAGAAATACAACAAAAAGGTTCTTTAAAACTACTGGGAAAGAGTGAGAGGGGAATAGCCAAAAGAATTTCAATTCAAGAAGATCCTGGAAAATTGTTTGGGGCGAACGAAATTCTAGAAAATTCAGGAAAAAAAGACTGAAACAATGCAGGAGAGGCTTATGCGAAATGAAAGCTTAAAACATGAAAAGTTAAAGAGATAAAGCTGAAAAATGATGGAGGGAGAAATGGGGAAAATAGAGAGACTATTCAAGAAAATTGGGGCGATTTTCAGAAAAGTCTTCTCAAGTCTCAAAAATTTTTGTTTTTTGGATGAATTTCAAATTGGGGCGACTTGAAAATCATCAATTTTTATACTCTAGAAATGGAAATTCTTTGGGGCGGAGAATATTGCATTTTTCGAGTTTTTAGGGTGTTTCAGCAAAAAAAAGAAGGAGAAGAAAATAAATTAAAATTAAAGGCTCGGGGAGAAAAATACTGTAAGCTCGAATCACTGGACTAATTTTTTGGGGGAAACTGGTAAATTTTATGGTGATGAAAAATAATATGGAATGTTTTTTAAACAAGAAGAGAACAATTGGAATTTTTTTGGAATATTTGAAGAAGCGGTTAAGTTGATTAAAGAAATTTTTTGAAACAATTTGTGAAGTTGTTGCTTGCATTTGATGGCAATTAGAATCTGAAAATTTCGAGAGTTTCTATTAAAATTCTGTTTCATAATTTTGAAAAAAAAAACTTAAAATTTTTTTTGGAAATTTAGCCGACCGACCGACCACCGACCCCGCCGACCGACAGCCGACCGTTTTCGTTCATTTGCACGTCAACGTGTTTGCATACGCTGCATTGTATTTTACGACAAACTACTCACTAAAAGTATCGTTTGTCGTAAAATAAAATGCTTCGTACGCAAAAATTCGTGTTTTTATGCGCAAAGGCACGAAATCGGTCGGCGCGCTGACCGATCGGTCAGCTCGGTCGGCTGTCGGTTGGCTTGGTCGGTGGTCGGTCGGCGGTCGGCGATTTTCGACCGACCGAAATGGAAGCCTTACACTCAAACCGTCAATTTTTAGCTCAATTATCTCGATCCCTGTGAAAGATATCAAAATTTTGACAAGTGATAAAATGTTGGCGATTTTATGATAAATAATTTATCAGTTGAAAAAAAATTTGATATCTCACGCAGGAACTAAGATAACTGAGCTCAAAGTTGACGGTTTGGGTGGGCTTATTTTAGAGTTAATACGGTATCTCCTTTTCGATTTTCAACAATTACCGATTCATAAATGTTGTAAATTCTGATCTTATTTTTTATTTCCTAATTGTATGAAACATCTGTTTTCTCACCTTAAAATTGTGGATGTTGCTGGTCGTGCTCCCGATGGAATGTGGTTCTTGTCACATTTCCCTCGGTGTCCACTGTCTCGAATTGTTCATCATCCGGCAGTTGATCAAGACGTTCTTGGCTTTCCGTTCCAGTGAAGGTGACATGAGAGACCAATGGATCAGTGACCTGAAATAATATTTCCTTTAATTTTTGAGCTTCTCCTCTATTATTTACCCTAGTCTCAACACGCCGGGAAATCGTCTGAAGTGAGCCGTCCGGTCCGACCACGGTGGTTTGGAAAGTAGTCAGAGTTGTTGGATAGGATTGGAGCATACTGGATACTTCTCCATCCAATGAATCTCTGTCATCGTCGGTGACCACTGTTCCCATAGTGTCTCCGGAGAGAAGACCGTGTGTGGATTGAGTAGATTCGATTCCTTGACTGGCGCCCTCGAGTACAGAGTCCTGGAAATAAAACAAGTTAGATTTTATAACACATTCCATCCATACCTTCTCGATAGTTGCGGTTCCGTCTAACGAGTCTGTTGTACTGGCCTCCATGACACGTGGAACCATCTCATACTCAGTGAGTGATGTATCTTCCACACTATCTGGTCGTTGTTCTACTTCGATTTCTTGGAATGTTGGTTCCAATGAATCGGTGCTTGTCTCAAGATATTGCATCTGGACTGGATCCAATGCGTGCTCGAGAGAGTCGGTTGGTGATGGAGCGACTGGAGTGACGACTCGAAGATCCTCGTCTTGAACTGGTCGACTCTTCAATTCGGTGTCACTTCCTCCAATGTCTTCCTCATCGTCTCCTCTGGTACTCATGTCTTCGGCTTCTGATTCCTCGCGGATATCCGAAAGCATCATGACGTCTTCTGGTGGTGATTGATTTTCGGTCATCTCCTTTTCGAGTCGTTCGAATTCAGCAAGAGAGCTGACTGATCCTTCTCCAGACTTGTTCAATCTTCCGGCAACAAGCAATTCAATTTCGGATCTTGTCAATGGTCCATCTCCCCGGGCTCCAACTTCTCTCTCAAGTCGTTCGAATTCTTGAAGAGAAGTCAAAGAGAGATTATCGCTGGATTGATGACGATATTTTCCAATCATAGCAAGAGTGTCAGCTGGCACTCCTACGGATGAGTGTCCAGATGAATGGTTTCCACCTTCGTTCAAGGAATCAGAATCTTCTGGTTCTTCTTCAACGGTTTCCAATTCTTCCAGCGACTGCTGTGGTTCCTGCTCTTCAGTATCTGCATCGTAGACTTCGAATCCAAGGTCTTCTGCTTCTTGGTGTGGATGATCATCTTCGTGATGTTCTTTCTGCTCCTCCTGGACTGGTTTCTCCGGTTCTTCTGGTGTTAACGACTTCTCTGACGTTTGTGCATCCTTTCCAGCACTGATAACACTCACAACTTCCAACGAATCACTCGATCCGCTTCTCTCACTCTCCACCCGAATCACAGTGTCCGCATGGCTTTCCGCCGACGACGACAGGTCCGATAGCTGTCGCGAGTAACGTGAAGACTCGCTATTTCCGAGATCGGACGACGCCTCCATGGCTAAACTATGGATGCGTTCGGTCTCCTGTCGCCTCATCTCCGTTTCTTCTTCTAACTGCGGCACGGCTTCAGTGGTGATTTGGGTTAAAGTTTCATCTGGTGTTTTTCTGACTAGCTCATCATCGTGATATTGTTGTGGTGGTGGTGTTGGTTCAGCTATGGTATCCTCTTCTCGGACAAAAACGAAATGATCTCCTTCCTTCTGCATTGTTGCGTCGGATTTTCTTGGTGGCACTGGTGAGATTGGACGTCCTGGGTCATGTTTCGGTGGCAACAGAATACCACTTGGACTGATTGGCAGCTTATCATCACTCTCGTCCTCTTCCTCGATGGTTACCTGAAGAGCAACATCTGGTGTGGATCTAGCTGTGGTTTGCAAGAAATCGTCTGCATCGAAAGCCTTGATAACAGGCATTTCGAAATCTTGTTGAGCTGTAAATTGACGGTCAGAATCCACAGGCGAAATCATCGCTTGTGGAGTCGACGTCTCTTGGCGTTCTAGATCACGGGCGGTGTGCTCTCCTTCGGAATCGCTAAGACGACTTGGCGCTTGGCTGGTCGCAGTTGTGTATTCTGAATCTTGAGAAGTCCAGCCTTGGGCGGATTCATACGTGTCGTCCTGAGATGTTACACAAGTGTCATACTCTTGATCGTCTTTCTCTGTAGCCGTCAAGTAAGCATCGGAAGTCATGGTTCTCTGATCGTCATCATCTTCTTTGATTTCATGAACAACTTGTTGGAGTACTTCCTCTACTAAATTGGTAGCAGTGATCTCAGCAGCTTCTTCCTTCTCTTCCTGTGCTTTCTGCGCAGCTGCTTCCAGTTGTTCCTCTTTTTCCAAATGAGCTTCTTGATCAGACTCATGGATCACATCGAGTTGATCCGAAGCACTGGATGATGGTTCTTCTTCAACGAGAGCATGAAGATTGTTTTTCTCTCCTGCCAAGATATTGAGTTTCTCCTGGAGGTCGGAATAATAATCAACTTCTGGTTCATTCGAAATCTCTTGGCAACTTTCTTGCTTCAAGAATTTGGATCTTCTTGGAGAATACTCAGCCTGAGTCATCATAATCTGAGTGGTAGCATCTCCTTCAGCTTCTTGAATGACGTCATCTGTTAGTTGAGTCGAGAACTCTTCCAGAATTTCTCCATGACGATCGTAGACCTTCCACTCTTCGTCTTGATCATCGTCGTGCTTGTCATCTGATTCATCGGCATGTCCGAAACTGATCTTGGTGACATTTTGAAGTGCCTCTGATGCCAAATCTTCAACGCTCTTTTTCTTTTGAACTGGGGAACGACGGTTGAGAGACTCAATTGAAGCACGGTATTGTTCAGATTCAATCAAGGTTCTGTCAAGTGGACTGAAAACTTCAGAGACGAGTTTCTCGGCAGTTTGTTCCGCAACGTCTTCTGTGGACAGATTGAAAGCAGCCTCGGTAGATTGAGATGGAAGACGCTGGCTATCCTCTCCATGATCAACGAAGGATCCTTCAGAATCACCTTCAGACTCGTCTTGATGGGTTTGGATTGATGGAACTTCCTTTTTGAGTTCAGCAGATTCGTAGTGAACTTGTTCATGCTCTCCCTCATCATCACTATCTTTCTTGAGTGCATCATAAGCAGCCTTGGCTCCGACAGCAGCAAGAGCAACTGGAGCAGCAACAACTCCTCCGGCAACCATTCCAGCCTTCTTTGCGAATCCAAGAACCTTGCTTCCGAATCCTTCTCCGTCACTTTCCTCTCCAGAATCTTCCTTGTGATAGTGTTCTCGATCAGCGTGGCTTTCAGATGTTATCGCAGATGTGGTCTTGATGGATTCATAGACCTCTCCTTCAGATGGTGCAGCTGAGAATCGGCGCTCTTCTTCTTCTGGCTCAGTAGTCGTGGTGGTAGTTTCGATGACATGTCCAGTTGATTTCTCAGATGGAACTGGAGATCCAGATGGAGAGTGTTGTTGTGATTCAACAACGTGAGATGGCTCATCTTCTGGCTCAAAGTGCTCTCGGGTTACTGTAGTTGTTGTAGTCGTTGTCTTGATGAATCCATGAACACCTTCTTCTGGTTGAATTGGGGAATGAGTTCTCTCTTCTTGCTCCAATTCTGTGTGAACTGGTCCAAAGTCATCTTCATGCTCAACATGTTCACGAGTGACTGTTGTGGTAGTTGTTGTCTCAATGACGTGTTCAACTGATTTCTCCGATGGAATTGGAGATCCTGGACCAGAATATTCTTGAGATTCAACAAGATGCTCTTCGGTTGGTTGATCTTCTGGCTCGACATGTTCTCTGGTGACAGTAGTGGTGGTGGTGGTCTCGATGACGTGACCTTCAGACTTCTCGGATGGGACTGGAGATCCAGATGGAGAATATTGCTGTGATTCAACAACGTGAGATATCTCATCTTCTGGCTCGATGTGTTCCCGAGTTACGGTGGTGGTTGTAGTCGTTTCAATGACACGGCCAGATCCTTCATCAGATGGAACTGGAGATTCTTTGCCGTAATCTTCCGATTCTACAACATGTTTCTCCTCTTCTGGCTCGAAGTGCTCTTGAGTGACAGTAGTCGTCGTTGTGGTGGTCTTGACATACTCTTGAACGTCAACATTTGATTCTTCTGGTTCGAAATGTTCTTCGGTTGTTGTAGTCGTTGTGATCTTCTCAACAACATGTTGAACGGACTCTTCTGATGGAACTGGAGATCCAGTGTATAGTTGTGATTCAATGACATGGGAATCCTCATCTTCCTGGGGTTGAACTGGGGTTCCGGATGGAGATTCCGGACGCTCATAGCCGATTGGAGACGATCTGGTGTATTCCTCGGATTCGACGACAAAAGGATCAGAAGGATCCTGTCTATATTCGAAGCTGTCACTGATCACTGATTCTACTGTAGTTGGATACTCTGGTGTGTATTCTTCCTCTTGAGATGTTTTCACGTGCTCGACATTTGAGATTGATGTTGGTGGAAGTGGATCTTCAGAAGAGTATTCTCCAGATTCAATGATCGATCGATCTTGTTCCAGTTCTTTCTCATCAACTTCCAGCTCTGGAATCGCAGCTGGTTCATGATGAACACTGATGACGGTAGTCGTTGTAGATTCTTCGAATGGCCTTGGAGACGCTTGTCCAGATCCAGTGTACTCTTCGGACTCAACGATACTTGGATCTTCTTGCTCGTTGTTTTGATCTTCAGCTCCGTAAGCTTCTGGCTCTTCATCATCCGAATGAGCAGGAGATTGAATTCTTTGCTCTTCGCGACTGTTAAATTCGTATTCCTCGGAGTCAATGACATATGGAGCATCTGATTCTGGATTCTCCGCAAGTCTTGGAGTCTCCTCTTCTTCAGTTTCTGGATCTTGTTGTGGTGTTGTTTGCACATCGCCAGAATCCGAGTGAGCTGGAGAACTGATACGTTGCTCTTGTTGAACTGATTGTTCATAATCTTCTGATTCAATGATGAATGGTCCTTCAGCTTGAACTTCCGATTCAAATGCCTGTTTTTCTTGCACATATTGGTCAGCTGGAGAATCCGCTGGGAACACAATCTTGGGTTCTTGTTCCTTTGGTGAAGAAGTGGGAACTTTGTCCTCCTCTTCTGGCTCGTAGAAGGTAGCTGCTGGTTCTTGGGTCTCGGAGTCAACGGCACGACGTTCACGAACATCTCCAAGAAGAGCTTCTTGTTCTTCCTGATCTTCTTCATCACTATCTTTTTTGAGGGCATCATAAGCAGCCTTGGCTCCAACAGCAGCAAGAGCAACTGGAGCAGCAACAACTCCTCCGGCAACCATTCCAGCTTTCTTTGCGAATCCAAGAACCTTGCTTCCGAATCCTTCTCCATCACTTTCATCTCCAGATTCTGGTTGTTGTTGTTCGGAGAGAAGTGGAGCTCTGTCAGTTTGAATTGGAGCCTCGGTTTGATGCTCTGGTTGTTCATGGAAGTATTGGACAGCTGGCGAATCTTGAGTCATTGAGGTTTCGGTGAATCGTGGTTCATCGTGATGGTACTCTGGCTCTTCCGGCTGGTGTGCTACATTAGTGGTGGTTGCAGCTTCAGTAACATATCCAGTTGATTTCTCTGATGGAACTGGAGATCGAGATGGAGAGTATTGCTGAGATTCAACAACATGGGATGGCTCATCTTCTGGTTCAAAGTGTTCGCGAGTCACAGTTGTAGTCGTGGTGGTCTCGATGATTCTCTGAGAATCAGATTCGGATGGTACTGGGGATTCTGCCGCATACTCCTCGGATCGTATGACATGCTCTTGGTCGTCTTTTGATTCGACGTGCTCACGAGTTACTGTAGTCGTAGTGGTAGTAGTCTTCACGTACCCATGGATGTCTTCCTCGGATGGAACTGGTGAGTGTGTTTCAAATTGCTGAGCAGCTCCAACTGGCGATTGCTCTCCAGAATAGTCATGTTCCTCTGGCTCAACATGTTCACGAGTGACAGTGGTCGTGGTGGTGGTTTCGATGACGTGACCTTCAGACTTCTCGGATGGGACTGGAGATCTACATGGAGAGTATTGCTGAGATTCAACAACATGGGATGGCTCATCTTCTGGCTCGAATTGTTCGCGAGTGACAGTTGTAGTCGTGGTGGTCTCGATGATTTTATGAGAATCAGACTCAGATGGGGCAGGATATTCAGCTGGGTACTTCTCGGATTCAACGAATTGCTCTTCAGTTGGCTCGTCTTCCGGTTCAAAGTGCTCACGAGTTACTGTAGTTGTGGTGGTCGTGGTCTTCAAATAACCATGAACATCTTCTTCTGATGGTACTGGGGATTGTGGTCCTTCCTGGTCATGGGAGTGAGCTGGAGAATGCGACTCTTCTGGTTCATATCGTTCCTCAGTCACAGTAGTGGTTGTCTTCTCAACAACTCGAGTAACAGACTCTTCGGAAGGTGTTGGTGATCCCTCTCTCTTTTGCTCAGCAGCCGATTGGCCTCCTTCTTCCTCATCTTCCGAAACTTCATACTCCCGAGTGACAGTAGTTGTTGTTGTAGTCTCCAAGTATCTTGGTGCATAAGATTCATCATCAGCTTCTGATCCAGATGGTGGTCGAACTCCTTCTGGTTCTTCGTAGAGTTCGCGAGTCACTGTTGTGATTGTCGTATCTCCAGAATGTGGTTCTTCGAATCGAGTCTCACCAACTGAAAATTGTTGTTCAGAATCGTTTGGTGATTCTGGAACTTCAGAAGATTCTGGTTCGTAGACCTCCTTTGTGATGGTTGTCGTGGTCTTTGTCTCAATGTAATGATGCTCTGGCTCGTCTCCGTCTGGTGCTTCATACACTTCACGAAGAACAGTGACTTCTTCTGGAGTGGTCTTTTCTTCACTCTCCTCTTCTGGCTTTGGCTCATCGTGATAATGACGGATAACTGTGGTCGTCGTCTCCACAACTTGTTCAGTTGGTGATTTGAGAACTGGTTGTTCCGACTCGGCGTGAGATTCCAATGCTCGAGTTTCATTGTCATCAAGATATTCACGGGTTACTGTAGTCTTTCTGATGGTTTCCGTGTAATGATGACTTTGTTCCGAGTCTGCTTCTGGATGGGATGGTTCAATGTCAGATGCTGACTCTTCATCGGATACAGGATGTACAGGTTGAGCTTCCTCGGTAGTTGGTTCTTCTGCTAGCTTCTCAGATGGTTCTGGAGATTCTCCTAATCTTTGTTCATGGAACTGCTCGTATTGGACTTCCGATCTCAATGGGGATCCAGCCGATCTTTGCTCACGAACATCTCCAAGCAGAGCTTCTTGCTCTTCTTGGTCTTCCTCATCACTATCCTTCTTGAGGGCATCATAAGCAGCCTTGGCTCCAACAGCAGCAAGAGCAACTGGAGCAGCAACAACTCCTCCGGCAACCATTCCAGCTTTCTTTGCGAATCCAAGAACCTTGCTTCCGAATCCTTCTCCATCACTTTCATCTCCAGATTCTGGTTGTTGTTGTTCGGAGAGAAGTGGAGCTCTGTCAGTTTGAATTGGAGATTCGGTTTGATGCTCTGGTTGTTCATGGAAGTATTGGACAGCTGGCGAATCTTGAGTTAGTGAGGTTTCGGTGAATCGTGGTTCATCATGGTGGTACCCTTGTTCGGTGTCATGGACTTCTGGAGACTGAGCTGGTTCCGAGAGTCTCTCGGAATCTTCTGGATGATCAAATCCAGATGTTCGAACTGTAGACTCAACTGATGGAGATGGAGACGCTGGAGCGTCGTGAGAGTCGACTCGTCCATACTCTGCTGGTTGCTGGTATGGTGGGATCGCTGGTTCTTCCGAATATTGATGCTGGTAATCTTCGAATTGTTGCTCTGATTGGATTGGAGACTCTCGATCAAATTGTTCACGAGTCACAGTTGTTGTGGTAGTAGTCTCGATATTTCTTTGAGAATCGGCGTCGGATGGTACTGGAGATTCAGCTGCATACTCCTCGGATTGGATGACACGCTCTTGGTCGTCTTCTCGTTCAACGTGCTCACGAGTTACTGTAGTTGTTGTAGTGGTAGTCTTCACGTATCCATGGATGTCTTCCTCGGATGGAACTGGTGAGTGTGTTTCAAATCGCTGAGCAGCTCCAACTGGCGATTGCTCTCCAGAATAGTCATGTTCCTCTGGCTCAACATGTTCACGAGTGACAGTGGTCGTGGTGGTGGTTTCGATGACGTGACCTTCAGACTTCTCTGATGGAACTGGAGATCTAGATGGAGAGTATTGCTGAGATTCAACAATATGGGATGGCTCATCTTCTGGTTCTAAGTGTTCGCGAGTCACAGTTGTAGTCGTAGTGGTCTCGACTATTCTTTGAGAATCATTCTCAGATGGAACAGGAGATCCAGTTTGGTATTCCTCGGGTCCAACGATATGCTCTTCAGTTGGTTCGTCTTCTGGCTCGAAGTGCTCACGGGTTACTGTCGTTGTGGTGGTCGCAGTCTTCACGTAACCATGAACATCTTCTTCAGATGGAACTGGTGATTGTGGTCCTTCCTGGTCATGAGTTGGAGAATGCGACTCTTCTGGTTCATATCGTTCCTCAGTTACAGTAGTGGTTGTTGTGGTCTCAATGAACTTCGTGGAACCTTCTTCTGATGGCACAGGAGACGCAGCTTGTTTTTCTGACTCCTCTTCTGGCTTGAGTTGTTCTTCTGCAACCACTTCTTCTTTAACCGGACGGCTTTCATAATCTGATTCTGCCAAAGATCCTCGTGGAGATTTTGGAGAGTATCTTGGTGAATAAGATCCCTCTCGCTCCAACTGTGCTTCCGTCTCTGGCTCATGTTCGTGTTCCTTCTCACTTTCTCTTCCAGATAATTCTGGTGATTTCTCATCTTGGAACTGACGGATATCTTCCTTGTGTGAATGAGATGGAGATGCAGGAGTTGAATCATCCTCGAACTTTTGATGAATGGTAGTGGCGGTGGCTTCAACTGTTTGTCTGAAGGACTTTTCGCTTTCAGTTGGTGATTTGAGCGATTCTCTATCTTCCTCATGGACAGGTTGAGATTTCACAGGCGATTCGGGGAACTCCTGAGCAATTGGTTTCTCAGATGTTTCTGGAGATTTTCCGAACTTTTGTTCATGGAACTGCTCGTATTGGACCTCCGATCTCAATGGTGATCCAGCCGATCTTTGCTCACGAACATCTCCAAGCAGAGCTTCATGCTCTTCTTGGTCCTCCTCATCACTCTCCTTTTTGAGTGCATCATAGGCAGCCTTGGCTCCAACAGCAGCAAGAGCAACTGGAGCAGCAACAACTCCACCGGCAACCATTCCAGCTTTCTTTGCGAATCCAAGAACCTTGCTTCCGAATCCTTCTCCATCACTTTCATCTCCAGATTCTGGTTGTTGTTGTTGTTCGGAGAGAAGTGGGGCTTGTTCAGTTGGAATTGGAGATTCGGTTTGATGTTCTGGTTCCTCGTGGAAGTATTGGGCAGCTGGAGAATCTCGAGTCAACTTGGTCTCCGAAGTGAATTCCTTCTCAGAAGCAACAGGAGATTCTGGTACTGGACGATGCTCCAACTCATGAGATGGTAGAACTGGAGAGTAAGACTCCACTGGATGTTCTTGAGGATGTTCTGGTTCTTCTTCTTCATATTCACGAGTCACTGTAGTCGTTGTGGTAGTCTCGACTACATGAGGAAGTTCTTTCTCCGAAACAGCTGGAAACTCGGCGATTTGATGTTCAGATTCAACATGAGAAGATGGAGCAGGGGAGTGATTTTCTGGTTCATCCTCATAATATTCACGGGTTACTGTAGTTGTTGTGGTGGTTTCAGAAACGTGATGAGCATCCTTCTCAGAGATCGGCTCCGATGGTACCGGTGAATGCCTCTCAGCAACAGGAGACTCTGATTGTTGAACAAATCTCTCGGATGGAATTGGTGATCCTGAAACTGCGGCTTCATCTTGCTCAAACGGTTGTTCAGCGTGAACTGGAGAAGCATCTCGGTGTTCTGGCTCTTCTTGATTATCGTAGAACTCGCGGGTTACTGTAGTCGTGGTAGTTTTCTCAACAACATGATGAGTTGATTTCTCACTTTCAGCTGGAGTTCCGATTGGTTCTGGTGAATGAGCTGGCTCCGAGAGTCTTTCGGAATCGAATCCTTCCTCTGGCTCGTCATATTCTCGTGTCACAGTTGTAGTCGTGGTAGTTTCAGTGACATATGGGGAGTGTTTCTCAGATCCTTCAACTGATCTTGCTGGAGATTCAGAACGTTGAAGATCATCATGGTCTTGTCCAAGTGGAGATTCTCTGTGATGCTCGATTTGTTCGAGTCTTGGATCTTCCTCACGAATGAACTCTCGGGACATAGTAGTCGTTGTTGTGGTCTCCATCACATGCGGAACAGACTTTTCACTTTCAACTGGGCTATCACGATCATTGTCTTCTGAATTCTTGTCAGTTGGGGATTCTGGTTCCACTTCGTAGTACTCCCGAGTCACTGTTGTCGTTGTGGTCGTTTCTTTGACATCCGACTCTTCAACTTCTTCTGGTTGATCGTGATATTCACTGGTTACAGTAGTAGTTGTAGTTGTCTCAATCAGATGTGGTTCGTCCTCATGGATTTCACGGCTCACGGAAGTTGTGGTTTCACTGTCATCAGAAGCGTCGCTTTGATCCTCTGCTTGTTCAGGGTGTTTTTCCTCCATTGTCTCTTCGGTCTCCTTCGGAAGGTCTCCAAAGTGTTCACGAACAACGGAGGTTGGGATGGTCTCGGCATCATGTTCAGCGGTGGTGGTAGTTTCAACGGAAGACACTTGGATATGCTTTGGCTCCTCTATTTCTCCTTCATCATCACTATCCTTCTTGAGCGCATCATAAGCAGCCTTGGCTCCAACAGCAGCAAGAGCAACTGGAGCAGCAACAACTCCTCCGGCAACCATTCCAGCTTTCTTTGCGAATCCAAGAACCTTGCTTCCGAATCCTTCTCCATCACTTTCATCTCCAGATTCTGGCTGTTGTTGTTGTTCGGAGAAAAGTGGAGCTTTTTCAGTTGGAATTGGAGATTCTGTTTGATGTTCTGGTTGTTCATGGAAGTATTGGGCAGCTGGAGAATCCTGCGTCAACTTGGTTTCGGAAGGGAATTCCTTCTCAGAAGCAACAGGAGATTCTGGAACTGGACGGTGGATTTCCTCATGTTCCGGCTCATCGTAGTATTCACGAGTAACAGTAGTTGTCGTCGTTGTCTCAGAAACTAGATGTGGTTCTTGTCCCTTTTCTGATGGGATCGGATATACTTCAGCGGGGGATTCTGGTCGCGCATACTCATCGTCTCGGAATTCGTATGCTGTTGCTGGAGTAGTTTCGGTTTCTGGCTCCTCTTCGTATTCATGAGTCACTGCAGTCGTTGTGGTAGTTTCGACAACATGTGGAAGTTCTTTCTCCGAAACAGCTGGAGACTCGGCGATTTGATGTTCTGATTCAACATGAGAAGATGGAGCAGGCGAGTGATTTTCTGGTTCATCCTCATAATATTCACGTGTTACTGTAGTTGTTGTGGTGGTTTCAGTAACGTGATGAGCATCCTTCTCAGAGATCGGCTCCGATGGTACTGATGAATGCCTCTCAGCGACTGGAGACTCCGGTTGTTTAATAGATCTTTCAGATGGAATTGGTGATCCAGCAGCTGAGGCTTCATCCTGCTCAAACGGTTGTTCAGAATGGACTGGAGAAACACCACGGTGCTCTGGTTCTTCTTGATCATGTGGAATAGATTTCTCACTTTCAGCTGCAGTTTCGACTAGTTCTGGTGAATGAGCTGGCTCCGAGAGTCTTTCAGAATCGAATCCTTCTTCTGGTTCGTCATATTCTCTGCTCACAGTTGTCGTCGTAATGGTTTCAGTGACATGTGGGGAGTTCGGTTCGGATCTTTCAACTGATCTTGCTGGAGATTCAGAATGATGGTGGTCTTCTTGATCGTGAACCATTGAAGATTCAACATCTTCAGGTTTTTCCTCGTCATATAATTCACGAGTAACAGTTGTTGTGGTTGTAGTCTCAACAACATGTGGGATATCTCTTTCAGATGTTGCTGGAGATTCCACATCCCGATTCTCAGTGTCAACTTCGGCTGATAATGCAGTTGAGTGATCTCGCTGAGAAGATGGCGATTCAGGTCTTTCATAGTCTTCATCGTGGATTTCCCGAGTGATGGTAGTAGTCGTTGTAGTTTCAACAACATGTGGATGTTCCTTTTTAGACAGAACTGGAGATTCGGCAAGATGACGTTCCGACTCGACATGAGAAGACGGAGTTGGTGAATAGGATGGTTCCTGCTGGAATTCTTTGTGTTCTTCCTCATGCTCTGGTTCATCATGGTATTCACGAGTTACAGTAGTTGTCGTTGTTGTCTCGGTAACCAAATGATGTTCGTGATCTTTCTCTGATGGAACTGGAGAATCCTTTTCAAGATCGGATGCCTCTTCATAATCGAAATCACGAGTCGCCGTTTCAATAATATTTGAGCGTTCTTTCTCAGATTCTGACGGTGATTCTGGTGCTTTATGTTCCAATTCGGCATGGGTCGATGGAGAGAATGATTCTTCGTGACGTTCTTGAATCTTCTCTTCATTTTCTCCTTCCTCATCGCTATCCTTTTTGAGTGCATCATAGGCAGCCTTGGCTCCAACAGCAGCAAGAGCAACTGGAGCAGCAACAACTCCTCCGGCAACCATTCCAGCCTTCTTTGCGAATCCAAGAACCTTGCTTCCGAATCTTTCTCCATCACTTTCATCTCCAGATTCTGGTTGGTACTGTTGTTGAGAAGTTTCGGTCTGGGAATGATAGACAGCAGATTCTTGTTGGAATTGACGTCTTTCAGAAACCACTGGAGACTCTGGCGCTCTGTGTGATGGCTGAGATGGTTGAGATTCAGGTCTCTCATAGTCGTCGGCACGGGTCACAGACGTCGTTGTTGTTGTCTCAAGAGTATGTGGGATTTCTTTCTCGGACACTGCTGGAGACTCGGCGATCTGATGCTCAGATTCAACATGAGAAGATGGAGCAGGCGAGTGATTTTCTTGTTCATCCTCGTAATATTCACGGGTTACTGTAGTTGTTGTGGTGGTTCCAGTAACGTGATTAGCATCCTTCTCTGGTGGAATTGGTGATCCAGCAGCGGCATATGGAGACGGAGAGTGAGCTTCAGGAGCTTCTGGTCTATCGTATTGATCGTCATGGAATTCACGAGTGACTGTAGTCGTCGTAGTAGTCTCAACAACATGTTCTTTCTCGGATGGAGATTGCTGACGTTCCGACTCCACATGAGAAGATGGAGATGGTGAATGAGATTCGGCATGAATTTCTTCATGTTCCGGCTCATCGTAGTATTCACGAGTAACAGTAGTTGTCGCCGTTGTCTCAGAAACTAGATGTGGTTCTTGTTCCTTCTCTGATGGGATCGGATACACTTCAGCAGGGGATTCTGGTCGTTCATACTCATCGTCTCCGAATTCGTATGCAGCTGCTGGAGTAGTTTCGGTTTCTGGATCCTCTTCGTATTCACGAGTCACTGTAGTTGTCGTGGTGGTCTCGACAACATGTGGAAGTTCTTTCTCCGAAACAGCTGGAGACTCGGCAATATGATGTTCAGATTCAATATGAGAAGATGGAGCAGGGGAGTGATTTTCTGGTTCATCCTCATAATATTCACGTGTTACTGTAGTTGTTGTGGTGGTTTCAGTAACGTGATGAGCATCCTTCTCAGAGATCGGCTCCGATGGTACTGATGAATGCCTCTCAGCGACTGGAGACTCCGGTTGTTGAATAGATCTTTCAGATGGAATTGGTGATCCAGCAGCTGCGGCTTCATCCTGCTCAAACGGTTGTTCAGCGTGGACTGGAGAAACATCACAGTGCTCTGGTTCTTCTTGATCATCGTAGAACTCGCGGGTTACTGTAGTCGTGGTAGTTGTCTCGACAACATGTGGAATTGATTTCTCACTTTCAGCCGGAGTTCCGATTGGTTCTGGTGAATGAGCTGGCTCCGAAAGTCTTTCAGAATCGAATTCTTCTTCTGGTTGATCATATTCTCTTGTCACAGTTGTAGTCGTAGTGGTTTCAGTGACATGAGGAGCTTCTTTGACAGATTCTGGAGATTCACTTTCCTGATCTTCTTCGTCATGTTTACGAGTCACATAGGTGGTTGTAGTTGTTGTCTCGACAACCTGAGGGTGTTCCTTCTCTGACATAACTGGTGTCTCAGCCAGACGATGTTCCGACTCAACATGAGAAGATGGAGCTGGTTCGTGCGATTCGCTTGGGACCTCCTCTTCATGATACTCACGAGTGACGGTTGTAGTAGTCACCGTCTCAGAAACAACATGTGGTTTTGGCTCCTTCTCTGATGGAACTGGAGATTCTCTGACTGGCGATTCTGGTTCATCGTAATACTCGCGAGTCACAGTGGTAGTAGTTTCAGTGACGGTTTCATGTGGATGCTCGTGATGTGAAACCTTTGGAGTGACGTCTTCCAAATGTGGTGGTGGAATATCCTCGTGTTGGATGGGAGACTCCATAATAGTTGTTTGAGTTGTCAGAACTTCTGGTTCTTCATGAACTTCTTGTTGCTCTCCTTCATCATCACTATCCTTTTTGAGAGCATCGTAAGCAGCTTTTGCTCCAACAGCGGCGAGAGCAACTGGAGCAGCAATAACTCCTCCGACAATCATTCCAGCCTTCTTTGCATAGTCTCCCAATCCAGACTTTTCTTCCTCTTCTTCCCGAACACTGGCAACGGAGTGTCTAGCGATTTCAGGTTCGTGTCCACTCTTCAAACTAAGATTGTCTCCTTCATCATGACTTGTCACACTTTCAGCATATTCCTGAGCAATTGGATGTTCCGAAACGATGGGAGATGTCTGTCCTGGTGAGTGATGTCCTCTATAGATTGGTGTCTGTTCGATAGTTTCCACCCGTCCCTCATCTTGTTTTTCAAATGACTCAGCCACAAAATGGGCGGCCAACTCGTCGTCATGGGAACTCATTTCACTCGCAACAGATGGCGAGATAACGTGGCGTACTTGAGGAATCGGTGGACTCACTTTTCCCTTTTTGGATGCTCTTTCGTCATCAGAAGATGTCGGAGAATACGACTTGATGTCTTTGATTTCAGCTGTAGACACGTGTTCCTCAGATGGCGACAACTCGTGGGACAATTCTTCGTCACTGTATTCACGTGTGTCCTTGATCTCGGCGTGAGCAACATGTTCCGGTTCCGAGAGTTCTAGTGGCTCCTGAGGTTGCTCATCTTCGACTTCTTCAACGTCATCTGGATGCTCTGGTGGAACTGGAGTGTGTGGAGTGATGACGATTCCGACGGCTGGTTCAATATAGCTCTCTTCGTGATGTTCATCGTCACGCTTCTCGATTTCTGTGTCTGATTCCGTGAATTGAACTTCTGGGATTGATTGCTCAGAATGTCCAGAACGTCCACTATCTCTGCCTTCTGAAGATTGAGCAACTTCCTCACGAGTCTCTTGTTCAGGTTCTTCATCGTCTTCTCTGGCAACGGCGTGTACCGATGGAGGTGGTCCAGCAACGGATGGATCGATTGGAAGCGTCTTGAACCGCTCGAACTTGGCGATTCGGTCTTTGACACTTCCCAGTGATTCGACAGGAGAATCTGAAAATGAGACAAATTTGTATGGAATAGTGTGGAAATGAATGAATGGATTTTCAAGTTACCTCCCTGGACCTGACCGTAAAATGGAAGAGATATTGGAGACAGGAGAGAGAGAGAGAGAGAGAGAGAATATGAGCTAAATGATACAAGTAAGAAGATAACAGAATCCTGAGCTATGAAAAATGTGAAAATGGAGAAGCCTTAATTTAAGACATGGCATTAGAGGAAGTCGTGCTCCAGAATTTCTAAAAACCTAGCTTGGACAACGAATTCCGAAAATGCTGAGAAAGACAATGACTCGGAGAAACCCTACGAAAAGATGCAGTGAAACCAAAAAGCGCAACAAAACTTTTGAAAGTGATGAAACATAAAAAAAATTGAAACTAAAATTCGGCATATTTTATAACGAGCCCAATCACAACGAAAATATGCTATAACTTTGGTTCCTATAAAACTAAATGAAGTGAATCAGACGAGCGAATCAGATGAATCAAGTGAAATTCCGATCGCAGGATTCCATTTTCAACGTCATCTGAAATTTCTGGCAATTTTTGAACACAAGTCCATCACCACCACGGAAACAACAACCAAAGGATCCAACGAATTCATCTGAATCATGGTATCACGTCTTCTGAATCCTGGTTTTCAGTCCAAGTGACCATTCTGACCATCCTGATCTCTGATTTTCACTGTTTCACAATACAACAATAACTAATTCTGAATTGATTCCCTTTTGCTTGCTCTAATCCTTGTTCTGTCCTCCACTTCCGAAGCCGACGACGTTTAACAAAAAAAATCAGAACAAAACGATACCCATCACATGCATATATATTTAAAAATCATTCCCATATTTATTTTTAATCAATATTATGAAATTCTCTTTATTCAATAACCGACATAGCAAATAGTGACTTTTCTTTTCCTTTCTTTTTTTGGTTATATTTTCTAGGAGCGAGCGAGAGAGTGTGTAGTGACGAGAGAGTGAGAGAGAAGCAGAGAAATAAAGGAACAGTAATAATATAAAAGAGGCAGGATGAGGGTACGGTAATATCCAAGGTCCGGGGATCCAATCTGATGATGGTCGGCTTACTCACCAGGGGCCGATGGCTCTTCTCCTTCTCCTGAAAAAATGAATTGGGTTGTTTGCAGTCAGTTGTTTTTTTTTACAAAGTCATCTTTATGATCCTATTAAATCAGTAATTTCAGATTTTCGATTCGCTAAAAATGTTCTAAAGTTCATCATTCCCCTTTCTCCACAAACCTAAAGTCTTTGGAAAAAGAGCACGGGAGCCCTTGGCTTGTCACAAAACTTGTGTAAAGTGTCTCTCGGGCTCACGCACTCTCTCACCCAAATGCCGTTGTGCTTGCTCAATTCGTTTTGAAATCATCGACAAGAAGAGAAATAGCGAAATCCCTCTATCTCTGTCAAAACAGATTTCTCACGTTCCAAGGGATCTTGGCTGGATGGGAAAAGAGGGTGAGGTGAGAGAAAACAAATAAAAAGTTATTGATTTGTATGTTTTCCAATCGACTCAAGAACCCTTACCTGGCAAAGTGGTACGAGTGGTTGTGACAACTCGTGTCATCTTCTTTGATACCACAACTGATCCATCTTCATTGGTGAATCCCTCCTCGGCAGTCTCCTTCTTTTGCGTCGTTCCAGAGTCTTGGCCAGAGTGTTGCTCAGCGCCAGATGCTG